TTTTTATGTTTATTTATAATTAAGAGAATATATATTTACTAGGGTGCCTATCAAAATTTGGCCGCCATTATTTTTAATTAAATTATTTTTAATTGTTTTTTGGTAAAAAATTGCGTTCATTTATTATTTAAATAAAATAACGTCTACATCACGGTAATTAATATGAAGATTCTAAAAAATCACGGGTGCCGTTGCGTACATGGCCGCACCTCTTTGCAGCCAGGTGTAAACAGGTATGATTTCGATACATTTATACGTTTATAACCTATTTTTATTAATTATATGTCAAATTGAAGCTATTTTTTTTCTATTAATTATCATATAAAGTTGCTTAATTAAATCTGGCCGCAAATAAGGGCTACTGGCTGTTAAAGATAATAAATATTTAAGGTAGAGTGAAAGAGAGTTAGCGCGTAACATCATTTGTCAGACGAGGACAGCGATTGTCGGCTGTGCGACGCTTTTAAGCCATTGCGCATGCGTCGAACGTTAGTGTTCTCAACCACCGGGGAGTAATAGAGACGAATTATAATAAATACTCCAAAAAATATGTATTTTTTTTCAAAATGACAAATTTAAAAATTGCAACAAAAAATTAATATTGATTTGATATATCGACGGTCTAGTTAGCAATTTGTCTAACTCCTTATTTTTTAGAGGGTGATTTTTTTTAAATTTTGATGAAGACATAATCCAATTACAAATTATTTGAATGATTCAAACTTAAAAATTATATCTCTATTAGATATTAATGATATTAAATGGTTTTTTAAAATGATAATAAATTTTGAAGTCATTGTTTTTTTCGTACAAATAAAAGATTCTCTAAAATGGAGTTAGATAATTTGCTAATTAGCACGTCGATATTTAATATTAATTTAAAAAATAAAAAATTAAAACCAAGGCGACTTAAGTAAAAGAAAATTTTATTGCGAAAGTATTATTTAAAAATTTTATTAGATTTTATTCAAGTAATTGATTGTCTATTACATATTAATTAAACATTTAAGCAAATTAAAAAATTAATCTTATAACTCTTATATTTCCGTAACTCTTATTTAAAAATCTGAATCATCGGAGCTTTCTGTTGTACTATCATCGGAGCTATCACTTTCATCGCTACAAATATCAGAATCGTCGTTATCGGAAGCTTTGTTCATGGATTCACATAGCACACTATTAACTTGCGTTGGAGTTGAGTCTCCCAGGAACTATGTTGGTTTTAAAAAACCATCTAGTACCAGCCAGCCATTCTGGGCTGAATTTTTTGCAATTTTTAAATTTGTCATTTTGAAAAAAAATTACATATTTTTAATAATAATAATAATAATAATCATTTATTTGCAAGAATATGGTATAAAAATCTTATGGTTGTACAATCATATGGTTTTTGGAGTATTTATTATAAGTCGTCTCTATTACTCCCCGGTGGTTGAGAACACTAACGTTCGACGCATGCGCAATGGCTTAAAAGCGTCGCACAGCCGACAATCGCTGTCCTCGTCTGACAAATGATGTTACGCGCTAACTCTCTTTCACTCTACCTTAAATATTTATTATCTTTAACAGCCAGTAGCCCTTATTTGCGGCCAGATTTAATTAAGCAACTTTACATGATAATTAATAGAAAAAAATTAGCTTCAATTTGACATATAATTAATAAAAATAGGTTATAAACGTATAAATGTATCGAAATCATACCTGTTTACACCTGGCTGCAAAGAGGTGCGGCCATGTGCGCAACGGCACCCGTGATTTTTTAGAATCTTCATATTAATTACCGTGATGTAGACGTTATTTTATTTAAATAATAAATGAACGCAATTTTTTACCAAAAATCAATTAAAAATAATTTAATTAAAAATAATGGCGGCCAAATTTTGATAGGCACCCTAGTAAATATATATTCTCTTAATTATAAATAAACATAAAATTTGGTTTTAAACAAATAGTCGATGAGCGCACCAATCCTGCAGCGGGATCTCGTACTATAAGGAAATAAGATGAAATAGATTTTAAATTTAAAAATTTACGATTTCTGTATGTAACTAAAAACGAGCCAAAATAGTAAGGATATAGACTGCTTGGTAAAAAATATCAAATGTTTCAGAAACATGAAACAGAAATTCGATAAAATTTCTCATCAAACATGTATTACGAAATACTACAAAAACTGCCAAGTAAAGTCTATAGATTAAATAATGATTGTTATTTATTCTAATTTGTATAAATTTTCGGTTGATATTAGGTTTAGACATTTTTACCGCCATTATTAAAACATTTTAAACTCAATTATAATCCTAAAAAGTCACATGTTCAACGAGTTAGATCATTTCGATTATACTAATAAATAGAGAGCCATTGTGACCGCTGTGAACCTGATAATTTTTTAAAAACCCGCGGACGCCCTCTTGTTAAACGAAAGATCTCGGTCTTCTGTCAAAGTCAATAGCTGTGAGACTGAAATTTTATCCTTTTTTTATTTTCAACATCAGATCTACAGCAATCAAATGGTCTATATTTTAGCTATAGCATAGACAATAATTATAATAAATATAACACCTAAGTACATTTCCTTCCCAAATTCTTCCATTTCCCGCGTATTTTTACAAAATAAAGGGATTGGTGCAACTTTTACTACAGGTATTTAATTTTAAAGAGAAAATAGAAACCAAATTATTTCCAGCAAACTTAAACATATGAAGTATAATTAAAAAAATCAACAAAATATTACGAATATTTAATTAAACACTATATCCAAACGGAATGTCAGAAACTAGATATAAATAAAATATTAAAATACAACGAAAATGTTCGCATTATCCAGACCCGTGACATTAATAATCTAATCGGCAGGATTTTTGTCTGTGGTTCAAACTGGCAAAATCATTTATTCCTTATTCTACAATTAAATAAGTACAAAACTTAAAAATCTATATTTACATAACCGCGAAATGCAATCTTTAATAAAAATAATTAAATATTTGCCCTTGGGCTTGTATGTTTATGGGTAAATCGTTTAGTACATCAAATATATAATTAAAATTGTTGTTAATAAATATAAAAATATTGTACACAAACTTATAACAATTGTTTGTTAGGTTATATTCAAGGTAAACTAAGCCCATAGATCAAATATATAAAGTATGCTTCCAAATAAATTACTATATATTATTTCACTAAGCGAGCGTATATTCAAACAAGGTTAAGATAATAAGTATATTTTAGTTGAAAATATTAATTTGGGTACAGGCAAAATTTTAAATCAATCAAAATCCCATCTATATCTTTCGATCCACAAATGAGGGACGGATGCATTTCGTACTTACTTTAAGTAGCATTTGAAATGTCATGTCACGAATTTTGACAGTTCACCAATTGCGTCAAATTGACAGCCACGTAAACAGTTCTATAGACTCAATAGAAATTATAGTAGTGATGCTGTTTCATACTTACATAGAATGACTGTGTTGTGTGACCAGAGAATTGCAACGCTTCAGAAGATGTATAACTTAGAACGACCCATGGGGGTGTCGCTTCCTTATATACTTTTTATATTCCGACCCGGGAATCCGTAAAAACGTGCCTTTACTTTTACAATACTACAACTTCTAATATTATTAGGTTATGACCTTTTACATGTAAAACTTGCTACATGTAAGAAAACCCTTGGTAACTGGTTTTTCAATAGCTATGCATCCGCCTCTTAAAAAACATTACATTACATTAAATTGTAATCTATTTGACTAGGATTCGTCACAGAAATGTACCTTACACTACGAGTACATATATTATTTGTGCCGCCCCATCGTGACATAAGCTCGGAGATGACTTCTAAATAGTTCCAAAATGGGCAAGTTGTTGTCTCTCTTTAACACACGTCAAATGAAAGAGACATGTATGGATTGTTTTCAAGTGTATGGAGTATGTGTTTTAATTTTGTTTTTAGTTTATTTTAAATTAACTAAATTTTTAACACATTTCTTAAGCAATACTCTGTTAGCTGCTGGAATCTATTTTTAAGTCATCTTTGAATATCAGACCACGCAGTTTTTTTCACAGATTTTTTTAAATACATTTTTATACTGCGGGTCTTTTTACATTAGTTTTGAGGGTATACATCTGCCCCTCAAAATTTGATCAAATCTGAAATCAATTTGACACCGATTCAAACATTCTGCTTAGAATCAAAAACCGATTATATTTGTAATTATCAATTCATCAGATTAACCGACACATGGGCGCTTTGGGATTGGGTGGAATAGTACCTTTAGTGAAACAAATTAAAATTTATAATTAAGATTGCTCTCCAACAAAATTACAGAACAAAAAATAAAATTACAAGACAGTATACTATTTAATTTAATTTCAAATAGGGTAAGTTTTAAGGACCAATATTACCAAAACAATTTTTTTTATTAATATTTATTAAAATAACATGAAACAATTTAGTTTTTTAAACAAGTTGAACGAAGGAATGCAATATTGTCGAGAGCAAGTATAAACTAATGATTCTAATGTCCATATTCTAATTCGTATCTCGTCACAACATCGTCTTGAATCTCCTTTTGTTTATGTGTGATTAACGTTCTAGAATACGGGCCCAAAAAAGCAAATAATATTAAGCTTAGTTCGCACAAAAGCTCATGCATATTATATAGAAAACGTTATATAAGGTAAATCGTCAGTCTGTATAACCCGACCGAGTCGGTTAACACAAGGGACCCTGTATAGGAACTTATTATTAGCACATTATAATCGATTTTCGATCCGACTTCAAAAGTCATCGAATTGAGCATTGATTTCCTTAAAACACCTTTAAAGCTCTTAACCTCGACAACCTGTATTATTTTGAATTGATGCAGAATGTTTAAAACTTTACCTAACGGAGGGTAGTTGCAATTTATTATTGAGGGTAGATGTGGGTGTGCGAGTGGGATGGGGCGCGTGTGAGAGAGAGGTCGCTAGGGTATGGCTGGCGGTTCTGTTGGCGATGCGGGTCACCGCGAACCGCCGCGACCACGCCTACCTGGCTTACCGCGACGATTGAATCCCCTGAAATTAACAAATAATACAACTTAAAAAAAAAAATTAAAGCAGATCTAAACAATTCATTTTATGCACCATACATACGGTTATTATTTCTATCTTTGCAATTTTATATCTGCACAAATGAAGGAATACCGCCAGAGATATTTTAAAGAAAATAAAATGGTTTTAACCTGTTTGCACCTACCCTTTGTGCTTATTTAACATTTGAAGGAAGAAAGTAAAGAGTCGACGGTGTGTCGGCTGATCACCTACTTGATTATTAGATAAAAAATTATCACGAAACAGATCAGTAATCTGAGGCACAGACATAAAATGGTTAAAGCGTTTGTTTTTTTTTCAGTTGTTTGTGATTATAGATCACGCTACCATAGAGTTTGTTAATGGTCTAGTTGTCATAGCGAAAATATGTAAATTACTATGAGTCACGAGTGTTTATGCCAATTATAATAAATTTGTTTCAATTTCTATTTAATATAGGAATGTTTAGATTGGAATTTTTATTCCAATTTTTTTTAAATAAAACGAGACTTTTTGTCAGACAATTAGTCTATATTTGACTTACCTGTAAGGTCCACGGTAGGGCGGGCGTGTGGGCGAAGCAGGCGCACCGGAAGCGGAATTGCCCATACCACGAACACTGTTTGATGTTTCAGGTCTTGGGTTTTGGGTGCCACTAGACGATGATTTTGGCTCCTAAAGTTACAGAATAATTTAAAATCAATTTGACAAAGATATTGTGCTTTTCTTGACCTATAAATATTGTTTACTATAATTGTTTTATATTATTATTTTGAAACATATTTTTTATAAATAGATAAATATTTTGTTTTTTACCATGTATAATTTCTCATATACATGGAAAATCGTAACTATTGAATATGTGAGCACCATGTATCTACTATACTATCTTTTATTTTAGTATAGTAGTTTTTTAATTTTAGGTACATGGACTTCAAACCAATGTATACAAATTATTGAAAAAACTACTTTAAAAGATTAAGTATGTAATTTCTTGTCCATTCTTCTCCACATGAAACTACCTTTTGGAAAAAAAACGTCTTGTCCCAACTAGTGACTTTTTTTTACATTTTTAACTTGTAATTTTGATTTTCAAAGTGCCTCTTTAATAGGCCTAATTGAAATAAATGATTTGACTTGAGTTTACCAAACAAAACTTGCTTTCTTTTTTTTGTCAATTTACTCAAAATACTCTGCTATGATGATATATTTAAAATATAAGAAGTCAATTAGAGACTCAACCGTACATTTTGTTTACAAAATTATTTTCATTCATGAAAACTCATAAAAAAACTTCTTACCTGCTGGTCAGTGCGATCAGTGATGATGAGCGGCGGGGGTTCGGAATCTCCTACTCCAATGACTCCCCCACGAGCTATCTGGTGAGCCATGAGCGCTGCCATACGTTCTTGCATTGCCTGATACAAATATACTTAAATAATGTTTTTACAAGAAATTACATAATGGTTCAGGCTAACTAGAAGAGAAGTGTCATGTAATTTTATTTAAGTTAAAATTGTGTAATAAAGTATAATATATAATATCAATCATCATGATCATATTGATTGAAAAAATGCAGGAAAAAAATGCCAGGAATTAGTAAAATTTAAAGAAACTCTGACTTCTGAAAGACTGCTTTCTATACAGTTTTTCTCTTAATGTATGATGAGTCCAATATACATACTAATATAATTATAATTTTAGATGTAGGTATGACTCATTCAATCAATCAAGAAGTCAATCTAATGGGTAAGTAGGTGATCTACCACAACTTTTTTGGTCTAAGGCAAGCCGGTTTCCTCACAATGTTTTCCTTCACCGTTCGAGTTAAATTCTTAATGTTACATAGAAAGAAACTACATTGGTGCAGGGCTGGGGATGGAACCTACGACCTCAGGGATAAGAGTTATACGCTGAAGCCAGGTCACCACTGCCAACATTGTATAGTATTAGTCATTTAAATTTTGTTTTCGCTTTAAAGTTGCTCTGCTACAATCACTATAATGACAACATTATATAGGCCCTTACAACTTAGAAATGATTCAAATTAGGATTCTCATTTTATCAATAAAAAATCAATCAGTATTAGACTTTTTGTACCTTAATTTCATCAGTGAGATGGAAAGGCTGGGCATCAATGGATTCAACCGGCGGCGGAGCTTTCTTCAGATCATCCACATTGAACTGAACTGTGGACCTACATACCGGACAGGTTTGCTGGAATTAATATTACTTAGTTATTGTAAAAAGTAATGAGTGTTTAAATACCTATAAAATAATAAAAATAAAATATTGTCTTTGGTAAGATGTAGGTAATACACATTTAAATAAACACAAATTTATTGAAATATTTGTTTACATTAGTTTTCCGTTGAAATGGATAGGAAATTAAAGATACTTTCATTAAAAGCCCTTAGTAGTTTTATTAATACAGTGTATCTCTTTATATAACGAATTCAAAGGGACCAAGCATTTTCTTCCGTTATAGAGAGTAATTAGAAAAAAAAACAAATTTAACCAACTATATAGGTAAATTATCCTAAACACATAACGCTTTTCTTTTACTGGCCGTCTTGTTCATCATACACAATAGGTGACAGTGGTGCATTTAGTAACTGAGACCAAAATTTCCTACAGGCAATGTAATCTTAGAATAATGGCACACATGTTAATGCAATTAACAATAACAAAGGCGAGACTGCTGTTTATGACCTCAGGTGTCTTTCTTAGAAATTTCGGCACCTCAAAAGTTAAGTTTTGTAAAACAATTACACTTAAGTTAAAAGTAAATGGTGTTAAAATGTTGTGTTATTACTAAGCATGCACATTAATGTAAGAACCTTCTAACCTGATGAGGCTTTGCTTCCATCCGTTGCCACATCGGTAATTTCTCAAACTCCTCATCATAGTACTTCTTGCCAGCAATACAATGCTTAGACAAACATTGACTATGAAAATAGTGGAAACAAGGAGTCTTTATAAATATATCTCCTTTTACAAATCCATGCAGACAAATTGCACATTGACCTCGTGGTAGGTTGCATTGAGTTAGGCATTCCCGTACCATCTAAAAAATTTTTTAAAGACAAAGTATAGCCAAGCAGGATAGTGATAAATAAATGTTAAATAAACTTTAGATTCAAAAGAATTTTTTAAACACAAAACAGCACTAATGTCTAGTCTTGAATCAAACTCCTAGTTCTTTTGAGTTCTATTCATTAGTGTTTGCTGACAATGAGCATAGCTAGGTTAAGGGAAAAATTTCTTTGTCATATAACTGGGTCGCACAGAACCTGTTGCAATAGAAGATTACACTAAAGGATGGGTAGAGTTACATTTAAGTATACATAATGAGGCATTATTCTTTTGGTAATTTTATATCAAAGCTTGTTAGTGATTAAACCTTCCAGTACTACTTGTATAAGTTAAGTATTGCATTTAATAAATTCTACTAACAGGTTTTAGTAGTTTCCAACTATTTTATTTTTAAAATAAATAAGTTTTAATTCTCAATTTGTTTAGCATGAAACTGAGGTGTATAGAACTCAAATGAGTAGAAATAAATGTTAGAAATTATAACATACCTCTATCAATTCATAAACAATAAGATGTCCTATATTGTCAATTAACTTGTCTTCTATATCAGTTTGAATGCATGAAAGGATCCTATCATCCAGGCCTCGAGGATTTCTCATGATGACCTTGGGGCTACTCTCAGGATAGTCAGGAGATAGATAAATCTCTAAGGTCAAACGGACATACTGCTCATCACTTTTATCACACGTCGAAGGCAGCACATTCATTTCAATACCCTTTGGAACACCATCCTCCCATTTGATTATAATATCTGGAGAAAATATTGCCTCAAGTGCCTGTAATTCTTCAAAAACTCTGAAATACGATTATTATAAGTTAAAACGTCCGTTTTTATTTAAAACAATAATATTATAATCAAAGAACAAACCTTTCATCAACATCGGCGACCGACATGATGATAGCACAGCGCAAACTGGCCTAGATTTTATCCGGGGCTCGGTGGAAGTTAGGTAGCTTTCCTAGTGCATAAAGTTCAGGCAGGCGCAATGCAGTCTTTGATCGTTGCAGCGAACAGCTGGTTTTAGGAATCGCAACAAAAATCAATCTTGCTATACATCACGCTCAGTTGACATGATTGACAGATGACAATTCACCACAGAGTCAACAGACGGCAGACCAAAGAGGAAATTAATATAGTAGGTACAGAGATAGTTACTACTCTCCAGTCTCCAGTCTCCACTAAATGGAGGAGAAAACGCAAAGCTTTAAGCTAATTGCAACTGATGTCGCTATCATCCCTTGACCTATAACATTACGCTGTCAGTTTTCAGCAATTTTTACGTAAATCTTAGGTACGATTTCGTAAATCTTAAAGGGTGTTTACAAGTGAAAACTGCTGAATTATATTGTTTTCAACATGGACTGTTCCTTAATTAAAAGTAGAATTGAACGGGCGGTTCTTTAAAAGGAAGAAAGGCAGATCTTGTCACGAAGTAGTCACATTGGATATTTTTCAAAATCCATTGAAATTTTTTTATGAGGTTAGGGATGAAGAATTTTATCAATCATATGTTTAAAGTATTGAACAAATTATATGTGGAATATTTTAAAAAGGCCCTACTTAATAAATATACTTATAAGAATTACTAAGAAACAATAAAACCCACTAATAACTTTTGACTTTATTTTACAATTCCTTCTTTAAAATTACACAGCATAACACAATTACTGAATCCACGGTCAGCCATTAAAAATTATTGCATATTTTTCATCAATAACAGCTACAAGGGAACTTTCAGTTATTTGACGGTCACCGGTAAAGCCTGCATAATATCCATCTGAACAAAACGATACAAGATGACTGATGAACTGAACAAACGCCATCAGATGTAGCGCCCACCAATAATATTTTAGTGTTGTGGTGTTTGTAGCTACTAAATGTTGTTTGTTGCGCTGTAGGGTTTTTTTGATTTTGATATGCGTATTTCTGTACCATCTATTATCACTCTGGTAGCTGGATGATATTGCTTAAATAAATATAGCATGATATAATAATCAACCAGTGAATAACTAGGCCGAATATCTATTTTTTCCATAATTTATAAACAAAATTTACTCATGTAACAAATATACGTATATTCCAAAACAATGCCAAAAAAAATTGCCATCTCAAAATCGGGTTTATTTCTTATTATTTATTTATTTATTTAGTTATAAAGCCCACAACATCACACACAGTCATAAGTCCACCAACTATTTCACAAAATCCCACATCTAAAATGTGTGACAGTTAATGCAAGCATAAGTTTCTCAGTAAAAAAATCAAATAGAAATTAAAAAAAAAAACACAACTAAAACACACACGACAATGCAAGCACACATTAAAATAAAATCAATTTTTTAACATAAACATAAAATATAATAAAATTTTCAACAACTATGTGCAGAAAAAAAAAGAAAAATCATCAGAAAAAAAAGAAATTAGGTTCTAGAAAGGCACCCCACAATGCTTTCTCTAAAACCGATCAGCCCACTACCGAATATATCCAGCTCTGGATACGCTGTGTTCAATTTGTTGAAATCGCGAAGAATTCGAACGAGAGGTGCCTGAACTCCTAGGTTGGTTTTGGCAGATGGAATTTGGAATATATTGTTAATTTTAAACCTAGGGAATGAGTAAGGGACGACAAATTTGATTTCCTGTAAAAGGTCACTGTTCTGTAAATGGTTGTTGAGCAATTTATACAAGAATGTAACACCGGCTAGAGCTCTCCGATTGTTAAGAGATAACATATTAAATTTTTTAAGTCGCTGATGGTACGGTTGTCTATGTGAAAATCCTCTGCTTATGAAAGCTAGGTGTCGCGTAAAAGATCTTTGTATGCTTTCAACGCGTTGCGAATGGATCGCATATAGTGGATTCCATATAATACTACCAAACTCAACATGACTGCGCACCAGAGCGTTGTACAAAATTGTTTTAGTCGTACAACCAAAACAATTGTTAATTATTAATTTAACAAACATCAAAAGAAATTAATCCATTCCACTGACGTTAATGACTTGGCTGACCCTATAATTATATTATTACGATACTTGCTGTGGTAGTGGCTTCCATGCGGAAACAGTTGGGATTGCAGTCTTTTTCAAAGCGCTGCTTATTATTTTAAAGTTTCTTTAAAGAGAAAAACTTAAAGTTAATCGAAATTTAATTTTTTAATCCATCTGAAATGTAATCGATATCTTTAGGAGCGGGCAAGCAATGTCCTACTTCTAACACAATATACTTCTTCTACACACTCTCATAAGTAGTTTATAATTTAAAAAAAATTAATCTAGATCTTCCGTATTTTTATGGAGTATGTTGTAATCTTGATGATTTAGATCTAGTCGAGTAATAACCAGTATTATAAGCGCCTTTGTGTTGCCTGTAACAAAAAGTATTATGAAAATATAAAAAAAAATATTTCCGTAATATAAAAAGATTTCAAATATAATCTTTACGATTTAATGGACACAAGAAATCTAACCTACATACCATCTTAGTCGGAGTGAATTCCATATTTTCTTCTTGCATACGAGCACCATGAAGAAGCCGACGCCAATGAACCCGTTGTATAAATCAACCACGACCCAAACTGGATGTAGATGTGAAGGCGGCAAGAGGTGCGCGACAATTTCTAACACCCACGAAATTCCCATCAGAACAGAAAGTCTTACGTACACTAATAACCTGTAAAATAATAATAATATTTAACCGAATATACTCTAAGGGACTAAAAATGGTTTCTGAATAAATATACTGAGATTAGCATGCTTTCCAGGAATGCTCACGGCCCCTTATGATATGGGGCACACGAGGAAAGGGGCACATACAAATGAGGCAAATGGAGAATAGGGTATTAGAGCGTCTATTTTATAGATAAGTATTGTGCGACTATTTCTAGCACCCACGAAATTCCCATCAGAACAGATAGTCTTACATACACTAATAACCTGTAATGTTATTAGTGTGCGTACGTCAGTTTCACTTCCAATCCAAATTGATTGTTTTGTTGAAATAATACTTATTGACATTGTGTGATGGTACTCACAGTTTTTTTAAAGACAATGCAGACTCGTTTAGAATTTTAGTTTCGTTGAAGGTTCCCCATATATTATATGCCGTTATAATAAAGAAATACCAATTTCCTATTAACAATAACAGTATAGGCAAATCGAGGTAAAGTAGCCTTTCATATCCTGTAAAAATATCAATAATTATTTCCATACAATATTTATTCTTAATCTATAATCAAAGTTCATAAATCAACGTTTCATAGTCTGTGTGCACTGCATATTATTTATTTCTTTATCTGTTAGAATCTCTTATCAAATTAATATAATATATTATGATCGCGCGCTTTTTTTGCATTTAGTTTTCGTATTTAGTATAAATAAATGTTTTATGTTCGTATTTTAGGTTCTTAGTGCCTAATCTTTAAGCGCTAGAGAATAGCTCTGTTCTCTGTCTCTTGTCTCTATGTTCTGTAAAATGTTTAAAAAAACGTTGTTATTTTCAAACTTAGAATTACATTGGACGACAATTCCTAAAACCGCAATCACTATTGAACTTTGGTATTCTGTCGTTAAATTGTGTCGTGAAATTTATAAATGAGTCAGTAAGAATACTCGTAAACATACAGAGATACTATTCTAGAATACATAAACATGCATTTCTATATATCATCAAATAAATTACAGGTTATAAATAAAAAAAAGGAAAAATACATAAAAAGTAAAATAAAAAACTCTTAGCCTTACCATGTAAAAAGCAACCATTTCGTATAATATTCGGTACCATGAACCAAGAAAAACGCTCTAGTCCTGCGTGATCTAACACATTTAGTAGAATCGTTAAAATCATAGGCACTCCCCAAGCATAAACAAGATATTTCTTGTAGCGTCTATTTTCAATCTCTCGATTGTTAGCTCTCGGCGTTCGCTCGAACATGCGCCTGGAAATGAATACTTATATAAACAACAAAATATCGCCTTGTGGCTAAGTGGTTAATGTAAATTCTCGGCGAACCAATAGTTTTTTCAGTTGGGAGGCATGCAAGGCTTCTAATTAAGAAGCTCTTTAAAGGTACTTCATATAATATCAAAATGAAAGATTTTTCTCAATCGTAAATAGTGGCACAAGATGGGGCTCCATAGCTTTGTTGTTGAGTAAGCCCACAACGAAAGTCATAATAAATCATTGGCCGAAAATTTTCTCACTTTAGGTTAATTTTCACATATAACAAGAGTTTTAGATTTGCCGCCAATTCTCAAAAACAAATGACAAATGAATGCAATATACATTAGGTTACCAAAGAGTTCTAAAATTGAAATTCAAAAAGTTTTCAGTAGCAATGTTTCTAACTAGCCAGTTATAAACATTTTCAGTGTTACCCACGTTCTTACCCATAATCTCGCCACATCATGAAAGACAAAGCATTCATCCAACAGAAACTCGACAGGATGAAAAAATAAAAAAGGGAAGCTGTAAAAGAACACAGTTTAATATGTAAAATATCGTGTAATATTTAGGTTATTAGATTTCAAATGTTTATTTTATTGTATTTATCGATGTATAATATAACTAGTCTCACGTTTAAGCATGGTCAAGAAAAATAGATAAAGGTAGTCCTGGTGACATACAATGGATCAATTTAAAGCAACACAACTTAATAATCACAGGATTAAACCGGTGAGCCGTGATAGAACTTTGTTTTCTGTCATTAAAAGTCGATAAAAATACATAGTTTAATCGTTTATTAAAACCTAAACATAACAATTACAATTTTAACCTACATAGTAATAATAAAAATATTTAATAAAAAGAAAATTAAAACAAATATAAAAAGTTTGGTCCCTGTGGCAGTTTACCTTTAACGCTGGCAGCATTTCCTTGCTGTATTGTATTTAATAAAAATACTAATTCCGGCAGGATAATAATATTATGTGACATTCTTGAAAGAGGCCTATGAACTCATGATACAAAATCAAAACCTGACAAGACTGAGAGTGGCCCTTAGCTAACAACTAATAAAAGAATAGGCCGGTATTAACAAAGCTAATTTTTTTCTATAAACCAGAAGGCATATTGGTAGGAAGCTCATCTAATGTTAGGTGATACCGCCCTGCCACCCACATTGACCCGAAGTCCGGCCTTTTACGTTGCAGAGAGACCCCACATCTCTACGCAACGCCAACATATCAAGCTACTTAGAACGTAACTGTATTCCATGTATGCTTTATAGAGTTGCAAGCAGTAGCCAGGAGTGAAGTGAGACGGTACTTCACTTGCCTTGCTAAGCAGACTAAGTTTCTTAGAGGCTACTTTTAGATAAGCCTATAATTAAGATACTTATTATACCTACATTATACATATAATAACTACTTACTAAAACTGTAGCAAGGTGGTACTGTAGCACTACTTATTTCCACTATTTGCATGGTAGCCAATGCTAGAAATGCACCAAGAAGACTGATAACACACGATAAAAGGATTTTGCCCTTCAGATTTCGTAACTTTGGTAGAAAAACATATACCAGTATTGTCAATGAGAGAAACACACATGATGTCAATAATGCAGTAACTGAAACAAAAATTTACAACTTTATGGTTAACTTATTTATATGTTTACAAATATTCCTACAGCTACTTATTATAGGTACGATATCTGAACAATTACATTATACACACAAGCCAAAAACGGATACACATTCAAACATAAACATAAAACACTGTTAACTTACTATAACTTACAACTTATACAAACATAAATATATACAATTAACATATAATAAATTGTAAGATGCATTGATCGTTATAATATATTTAATATAAAGTAGGAATAACAAAGCCATTCTATCTAATAAAGTGTTTTTTTTTTAATATTGTTTTAAGCATTTTTTTAGTTATATAAAATAATTATGTATATCTATTTGCTGGTAATTTGTGTTATAATATGAAGGTATCATACATGACTGAGTTACGTAAATAGTTTATATTAGACTGAGGAATTTGTAAAAGTTAGGTTTTCCTTGTAATGTATGAAATATGAGGATTACATTATATATATGTCACCGTAAAATTGTAAACACCGTTAGATTGTAATCTATCTCGCGAGATTGTAAACTGTCGAAAGATTGTGAACCTCAACGAACTGCTTGCAATTTAACGTATTATTATTCGGTAGATTGTACTACACTAACTTGGTTATCATTCAAACTTCTTTGGTCAAGTCGTTTGTGTCGGCATAAAAGACCTAAAAAGTCGTAGCAGCACTGAATTCTTTCTATTAAGGTTGATGGACGTGTGACGGATGTTTATAATATTGTTTTTTAACATTTAAACGTTCAGAAAACTAATATGTGTGACGCAGCGAGAAGAAAAGAAACAGTGGATAAAAAAAAACGTTTATGTAATTATGTACACGCGTTAGAAGTTATACTTCTTTGACAACTTTGTAACAAGATAAAAATCATTTAAATTTTTTTATCTTTTGCTTACGTTTGTAGAAAAAAACGACCCAAACAATAGAAAAAATACTCTCATTGTTTTTCTAGAAAAGAAGTATAACTTCAATTAACAATTATTACAAACAATAACGTAGGGCAAACTGTCGCACCATCTTGCAATTTTTATTTAATTTTTCACTTGTTATTTAAATGGATTTAAACCTTTATACTTACTAGATATGTAGGATTGTTCTAAATCTTTTACTGGTTTCTCCTGATGTTGTGTTCCATTATTTATTAACCAAAAGCCAATTTCAGTAGAGTTGCCATTTTCTTTATAGTCTAAACAAAAGCTTGATGGCTCTTTGACGTCAGCGTCCGTAATAATTATGAAGCCATTCTGAAAAGAAATATAGACCGGCGATCTTGTAGAATCGGAATTTTGAATAGTTTTTAGTTATTTATTGGATGTAGAAAATTAATAAAATGATGAATAGTTGTACACATTTTGACGAACTGCTGCATAATTTTAAATAAAAAATTGTTTTAAACTTTTAAGCCTCATGTCAAAAAGTTGAATAAAAGTTATCTATGAAACATAATTACCATTTTATGCTTCTGTTTTTAAATTACGTTAAAGGGAATCTATATTAGATTCCCTTATCGTATTATAAATATGTTTATGTATGTTATATATGTTTCATTGAATTTATTAAATGTTACTTTACTAAGCCCGAAAAGGGCAGTCATCGCAGCCCATAAACTTCCATTTCAGGGGGTGCGTTGCCGACCCTTGTTTTTATTCACAAATCAAATTTCGATCTTAAAATGATTATTTTATTATTATTATTACTTACAAACAACAATTGAGCATTAGTTATTTCTTTTCCAGGAGTAATGGACGCATTAGCAACCACACGAAACATACTGTTAAATTTCTCTTTAACTTGAAATTTTGAGTTGTCTTCGTTCAAATCGTAAACTGGTACATCAGAGAAATTGTTATTCCCAATAGTATTTATAACACATGTAGTTTTCACATGAAAGTTCTCCGGACAACACTTTTCCAATAAAATCTCATTTTGACCAAATACCATTGCACAAAACAACAAAACAATTCGTGTTTCCCGTAACATATTTGAAACAATTATGAGTAATTGGGATTAATCACTGAATATTCAAGGAAAGCGGTTTTTCCTGTGTAGCTTGTTTTAGACACGTAACTGTGATTCTATAATTAAGCGACAGATACCAGCTTTAAAATGGAAAACTTATAAACAGATATGGGCTGGCATGTCTAGCTGACGATTTGTCGAGGAAGAAAAGTGTGCTCTTCCTCCTTAATGGAGCCTCAACCAGTTCCACCACTGACTGTTCTGCACAATGGTACCAGTGTCTGTCAGCATTTGGTATAATAAATAAATCAGTCGTCCTACAGGCTTTTCGGTCTGGTTCCAGAATTCTGAATCTGTTTCATAATCATTTTTCAATCTAATAGGTATGTAGGTGATCAGCCTCCTGTGCCTGACACACGCCGTCGTCTTTTTCTTTCTTTTGGGGTCTTTTGGGGTCTAAGACATGTCGTTTTCCTTCACCGTTTGAGCGAATGTTAAATGCGCACATAGAAAGAAAGTCCATTGGTGCACAGCCGGGGTTCAAACCTACGATCTCAGGGATGAGAGTCGCACACTGAAGCCACTAGACCAACACTGTCTTAATGTTCACTTACGAACGTCAATAAAAAATTAATTATCCAATTAACAATTACTATTACTTCTCAAATTACGAACGGAAGAGTTAAACACCGAATGAGAAGGGTGAATTGCCTTAAAGGAATTCTATTTTTAAAATTAAAAGAGAATTTATGAAATTTTATATTTTATGCAAAATAATTTATTGAAATCTCAAATAACGTATTGTAAATTAAAATGCCACGTGTTTTTATTACCGAAAATTTGTATTAATTTTCGACACTTAATATATTAATGACAATTAAATTCCTAACGTATCTTACTTTTTTCCCTCACTCTAAGTCTCGGAAATATAAAGTATTAGATTTGTATAAATATAAACAAGATTTAAAAATTCGTTTCCCAAAGAAGTTTCACTTCAGACAGGTGTACTTTGTACGCACGCTTTTTTTTGTAGATTCGTGATAATTTCACTATAGGTACGTGAAGCAAAAGAATTTTAAGATTCAGGAATTGAACAACTCACTGTGCGATACTAGGTATCCCTACGGCTTAAGAATTTGTTTCTAGCGCCATGAAAGATATGACTATACTCGTATACGTATATTCTTGTAGATCTCATCTTATTATAAATAAATTACGAGTCACGTTGATTGTCTGCTATGGACTCCTAAACTACCGAACCGATTTCAATCAAATTTGCACACCGTGTGCAGTTTGATCTAACTTAAAAGATAGGATTAAATGAGCTTACATCTCGATTTATACCCACAATATTATTTTATTGCAAAATATTTGTTTATTATCTGATAGTCACAATTCTAACAGATGGCGCTGTGTTGAAAGTACCAACGTTTCAAGTAAGCTACAATTTAATGGCATTGTCACCAAAAAAGCATGGTGGTCCCCATGACTACTTCTCCTACCGTTTCCCTTGAATAGGTTATTACTATGTAATATAACTAAAACCTTAGCCACAGCAACGCTTGGCCGGTCGGCTAGTATATTAATAAAAAAGTAGTGTTTCATATTGTAAAATGGCTCTCAACTTTTTTGTGTTTGACTATAATCACCAATAAACCGAATTCAGCATTGACAAAATAATTTTGATCAACTTTATTAAATTCAGAATAATTTCATTTTCAAATATTAAATTAAGAATGTATGTCTATGAAAATTATTGTGTATTAGGGAATGATGCGTAAGAAATTTCAAGATTGTTTACCCTGAGTAAGTAGGCTTATTAAACTTAATCTCATATCACTTCTTTAATTAAGGCTCTCGGGGTGAGAATGGAAAGTAGTCGAAACTTTCGTTAAATTTTGATTAGTCAAATGTTATAATATGCTTTATGGCGCTCGTAAACGCGTATTGAACCACATAATATACTGCTGACTATGACAATCGAACAGAGATGAAGATTCTCACCCTCCGTTATCTCTAACTTCCAATAGCGAAGGTTGCGACAGTGTTTCGGATATTGAGAGAACGACATCGAAACTTGATAGAGACAAGTTTCTTAACTTAAAGTCAAAAGTTCACGTTCAATTTGGCATTAAGTTCAAAGAAACTTGCAGGCAGTCTGTAGGTTGTTTATGGCAAAGTAATAAAGCACATAAAAACTTAGATATCACAAGGATTTTAATTAATGTAAACTTGCGGTTTAAAATACACACATATGAGCCAGGAACAAGTTCTGTTCCTGGCTCTTCATGGCTCTTTGTCTATCATTTTTATGAATAAAGAGGAAAATCTATAATGGTTCACGTCAAAATGTATATATTAATCATATAATATAATCTTCCAAATGCAAAGTTACTTCTATAATATAAACTAGCGGTTTCGGCTGTGATAATTCCTCCACAGATGGCAGACCAAAGAGTAAATTAATATAGTAAATACAGAGATAGTTACTACTCTCCACTAAATTGTATGCTCAGCAAAAATAAATATTATAGTTGAATAAACATAGCGTAGCATAAACTAGCATAAGAAATTTTTTTAAAAGACTACCTATAGAAATATAATAAATTTAAATTTTATTGAAACAATATTTCGTCGATACATGTAAATTATAATAATTATTATTACTTAATTATTAACTACACCGCTACATTATTTTAACGATTGACTACTAATTTGGAAGTTCCGTTGCACATGGCGTTTAATTCAGAGGACATGTTTTTAAACTCAGTGATCACTTATACGTTTAACATTAATAGTCGTACAATACATATTAGCTAAACACGGAATACACATTTAACACAAACTCAAAACACACTTATTATTAAAAGAGATGTATTTAAAAAATGCAAGTGTCTTCTAAAATAATAAAATAGTAGTATTCTACATTGGTTGATTGTCAATCATAGGCTATATTTGATTCCAAAATTTGGAAAAAAAAATAATCGAGAAAGTTATTACAGGCAGTTTAATTAAAGAGAGAGTGTCACTATCAAAGACTAAAACGATAATAATTAATAAAATGCGGAGAAATGTGTTTTTACGGCGCCGTATTTGCAGATTGTAGTACCTACTTATGAATGTAAGCTGTATCGTTTTCTTCTATTGGAGTAGTGAAGTTCGAAGTGCTGCTGTTATTTTAAAGTTTCTTTAAAGAAAAAGATATTAGTTATATAGATAAAAGATTTAAGTTAATCGAAGTTTAATTTTTTAATCCATCTGAAATGTAATCGATATCTTTAGGAGCGGGCAAGCAATGTCCTACTTCTAAAACATACTTCTACACACTCTCATAAGTAGTTTATAATTTAAAAAAATTTAATCTAGATCTTCCGTAATTTTTATTGAGTATGTTGTAATCTTGATGATTTAGATCTAGTCGAGTAATAACCAGTATTATAAGCGCCTTTGTGTTGCCTGTAACAAAAAGTATTATGAAAATATCAATAAAATTTATTTCCGTAATATAAAAAGATTTCAAATATAATCTTTACGATTTAATGGACACAAGAAATCTAACCTACTTACCATCTTAGTCGGAGTGAATTCCATATTTTCTTCTTGCATACGAGCACCATGAAGAAGCCGACGCCAATGAACCCGTTGTATAAATCAACCACGACCCAAACTGGATGTAGATGTGAAGGCGGCAAGAGGTGCGCGACAATTTCTAACACCCACGAAATTCCCATCAGAACAGAAAGTTTTACGTACACTAATAACCTGTAAAATAATAATAATATTTAACCGAATATACTCTAAGGGATTAAAAATGGTTTCTGAATAAATATACTGAGATTAGCATGCTTTCCAGGAATGCTCACGGCCCCTTATGATATGGGGCACACGAGGAAAGGGGCACATAGAAAAGGGGCAAATGGGGAATAGGGCAGATGTATTGTGCGACTATTTCTAGCACCCACGAAATTCCCATCAGAACAGATAGTCTTACATACACTAATAACCTGTAATGTTATTAGTGTGCGTACGTCAGTTTCACTTCCAATCCAAATTGATTGTTTTGTTGAAATAATACTTATTGACATTGTGTGATGGTACTCACAGTTTTTTTAAAGACAATGCAGACTCGTTTAGAATTTTAGTGTCGTTGAAGGTTCCCCATATATTATATGCCGTTATAATAAAGAAATACCAATTTCCTATTAACAATAACAGCCTCGGCAAATCGAGGTAAAGTAGCCTTTCATATCCTGTAAAAATATCAATAATTATTTCCATACAATATTTATTCTTAATCTATAATCAAAAGCTTCCCTAAATCAACGTTTCATAGTCTGTGTCATATTCTTTATTTCTTTATCTGTAAGAATCTCTTATCAAATTACTATAATATATGATCGCGCGCTTTTTTTGCATTTAAATGTTTTATGTTCGTATTTTAGGTTCTTGCTGCCTAATCTTTAAGCGTTAGAGAACCGAGCTAAAAGCTGTCTCTTGTCTTTGTGTTCTGTAAAATATTAAAAAAAACCGTTTGTTATTTTCAAACTTGGAATAACATTGGACGACAATTATTGTTGAAACCGAAAAAAAAACTTCGGTATTCTGTTGTTCAATTGAAGAAATTTATAAATGAGACACTTAGAATACTCGTAAACATACAGAGATACTATTCTAGAATACATAAACATGCATTTCTATATATCATCAAATAAATTACAGGTTATAAATAAAAAATAAATATCTTAAGTCATCGTATGCAATCGAACGTTAGCCTTACCAAGTAAAAAGCATCCATGTTTTTTAATATTTGGTACCATGAACCACGAAAAACGCTCTAGTCCTGCGTGATCTAACACATTTAGTAGAATCGTTAAAATCATAGGCACTCCCCAAGCATAGACAATATAATTCTTATAGCGTTTATTTTCAATCTCTCGATTGTTAGCTCTCGGCATTCGATCGAACATGCGCCTGGAAAAGGATACTTATAAAATCAGCGAAGGAATAGTTTTTTCAGTTTGGGAGGCATGCAAGGCCTGGTCCTACTTGCTAAAAAAGATATGCTTCCAATAATTAAGAAGCTCTTCCTTCAGTTTTTAAAAATAGATGAAAAGTTTCATAACCCGTTAAAGGTACTTCATATAATATCAAAATGAAAGATTTTTCTGAACGAATGTTTTAGGCATGAAATAGCTTTGTAAGCGGTCACAAATGTGACACGCGCTATGTTAGTTTTAATAGTATCAGCCCTGCGATTCTGTAACTCACTTTTCGAACTCGCACAGCGGTTTTCGCATCGGCGGGCGCTCTGAGATCAGTCGTGAAGCAGTCATTTTATGATTTGGCATTCTGATAAACAATAAACTACAAGCTCCCACCTTTTCAGAATGCCAAATCATAAATGACTGCTTCACGACTGATTTGAGAGCAACCGCCGATGCGAAAACCGCTGTGTGAGTTACAGAATCGCAGGACTGATCCGGCTGTAAGTTACATTCATCGTGTTTATAATTAAAATCAAATTTATTTTTTTATGATCACGGAAGCGACAAAACAAAGAATACCCAGAAGCAACATATGGTACAAAATTAAAATTAAACTAATTATGTTCTAATATCTTACCGATAATCTCGCCACATCATGAAAGATAAAGCATTCATCCAACAGAAACTGGACAGGATGAAAAAATAAAAAAAAGAAACTGTAAAAGAACAGAGTTTAATATTTAAAATGTCCTGTGATATAAAAGTTATTAGATTTCAAATGTTTATTTTATTGTATTTATCGATGGTAAAATATATATACGTACATAAAAAGATATGATATACATATGCATGTATGTATATGTATATCTAGTCACTCGTTTTAGCATGTTCAAGAAAAATAGATAAAGGTAACACACAAATTAAAAGCATCTCAACTTAATAATCACAGGATTAAACCGGTGAGCCGTGATAGAACTTTGTTTTGTGCCATTAAAAGTCGATAAAAATAGATAGTTTAATCCTTTAATAAAACCTAAACATAACAATTACAATTTTAACCTACATAGTAATAATAAAAATAATTAGGAAAAAGAAAATTATTTGGTCCCTGTGGCAGGGTACCTTTAACGCTGGCAGCATTTCCTTGCTGTATTGCATTTAATAAAAATACTAATTCCGGCAGGGTAATATTACGTGATATTCTTGAAAGTGGCCTATGAACTCATGATACAAAATCAAAACCTGACAAGACTGAGAGTGGCCCTTAGCTAACAACTATTAACAGATTAGGCAGGTATTAAAAAAGCTTATTTTTTTCGATAGATCAGGAGGCATATTGGTAGGAAGCTCATCTAATGTAAGGAGACCCCGCCACCCACACTGACACTGCCAAAAAGCTCGCAAGTTAGCCCGGCCTTTTCCGTTGCAGATAGACCCCACATCTCCACACAACGCTAACATACCAAGCTACTTAGAACGTAACTGTACTCCATGTATGTACAAGCCTATAATAAAGTTTAAAGAACTTTATTTCTCATTACAATTTTTATTTATTTACATGAGAAACAATATAATATACGAACGAGATACGCGTCGCCATCAGCCGTCCCAATTTTAGTGTACAAGGCTCATTCTAATATGTATCTTTAATGCCCTTTTGAATTGATTAAACACGCTAATATTACGAATTTTAGACGGTAATTGATTAAATAATTGCACCACCCTCGTACTTAACAGACTTCTTCAAATAATTTGTACGCGGCTTCGGCAAGATAAGCAAACTCGCTCGACGAATAAGTGGTGTATTTGAGTTTTTTAAATGATAAGCTACTATGGAGAGAGTTATTTATTTTTTAAATTAAGATATGGTGCTATAAACATATAGTTGTTTAATCGTCATAATTTTGGTTTTTGGTAGATTTTATTAGTAGGTGTTAAAAAATTGTATCTAAATAGTGCTTTTATTAATTTATTTTGTAGTATTTGTATCTTAGAAATTTTGTTTTTGAATGCATTTTGATATTGACCAAAATCTGCCTATAAGTGATTTTAGTTTGGTAATTATGTGTGATATATGAAAGTTTCATTTTAAATTTGTATCCATTCTAAGACCCAGATATTTCTCCCATTTTTGATTAGTGATTTCTACGTCTACGTTTTAGCTGTTGATAGAAATCAGTTTATTTGTTGCCCTGAATATTAGGTTCATAAGACGTTTGTGATATATTAATTGTTAGCAGATTAAGATACTTATTATACCTACATGTAATAACTACTTACAAAAACTGTAGCAAAAGCTCGGTGGTACTGTAGCACCACTTATATCAACTATTTGCATGGTCGCCAATGCTAGAAATGCACCAAGAAGACTGATAACACACGATAAAAGGATTTTGCCCTTCAGATTTCGTAACTTTGGTAGAAAAACATATACCAGTATTGTCAATGAGAGAAACACACATGATGTCAATAATGCAGTAACTGAAACAAAAATTTATAACTTTATGGTTGACTTATTTATATGTTTATAAGTATTCATACAGCTACTTATTTTATAATATCTGAACAATTACATTATACACAAGAGCCAAAAACGGAATTCACATTCAAACATAAACATAAAACACAATTATTAATACCTAATTATACAAAAAAAAAACATACAATATACATATGTAAATTGAAAGATGCATTGATGGTTATACCATATTTAATATAAAAGAGGAATAACCAAACCATTTTATATAATAAAGGCTACCAGAGTTTTTATGTTATGTTGTGATACCTATGTTTTAAGCATTTTTTTATTTATATTAAATATATCTATTTGCTAGTAATTTGTGTTATAATCTGAAGGTATCATACATGACTGTGTTACGTAAATAGTTTGTATTAAACTGAGGAATTTGTAACAGTTAGGTTTTCCTTGTAATGTATGAAATAAGAGGATCACATTATATCTATGTATGAAAGGAAGGTAAGGAAACCGGCATGTCTTGGACCCAAAAAGTCGACGGCGTGTGGTCGGCATAAAAGACCTAAAAAGTCGTAGCAGCACTGAATTATTTCTATTTAGGTTGATGAACGTGTGATGGGATGGGAATATTTATTTTTAACTTTTAATTGTTCAGAAAACTAATATATACAGCAATATGACGCGACGAGAAGGAAAAAAACAGTGGATAAAAAAAAGATTGAATTTTTTAAAATGTTTTATCTTTAGCTTTATTTTACGTTTGTAGAAAAAACGACACTAACAATGTAAAAATTTACTCTCTTCATTTTTCCCTAACGCGCCAAAAGAAGTATAACTTCAAAACAATTAAAAACATTAAGACAAATGAGTCACGCTGTTCGCGCGGATGGATCTATGGTATGAAATTGTCGCGCAAATCAAACCCGATTTGTTTTGCAATTTGATTTACAAACTGCCTTATATAGTAGAATTAAAGGAATTTAAATTATTAATTTTTTAAGGTTAAGGCACGTAGGACAAAGCGTCGCACCATCTTGCATCAAACTTGCAATTATTATTTAATTTTTCACTTGTTATTTAAATGGATTTAAACCTTTATACTTACTAGATATGTAGGATTGTTCTAAATCTTTTACTGGCTTCTCCTGATGTTGTGTTCCATTATTTATTAACCAAAAGCCAATTTCAGTAGAGTTGCCATTTTCTTTATAGTCTAGACAAAAGCTTGATGGCTTTTTGACGTCATTGTCCGTAATTATTAAGCCATTCTGAAAAGGAATATCGACCGGCGATCTTGTAGAATCGGAATTTTGAATGGTTTTTAGTTATTTAATTTGATTCGGTGTAGAAAATTAATATAATGATGAATAGTTGTATTGGTAATACATTTTGACGAACTGTTGATGCACAAATTTGAATGACGAACAAAATTGTTTAATCTTTCTAGCCTCATGTTAAAAAGTTGAATAAAAGTTACCTATAAAACATACTTACCATTTTATGCTTCTGTTTTTAAATTACGTTAAAGGGAATCTATATTAGATTCCCTTATCTAATATATAAAATTCTCGTGTCGCGGTGTTTGTGGTTAAACTCCTCCGAAACGGCTTGACCGATTCTCATGAAATTTTGTGTGCATATTGGGTATAACTGAGAATCGGACAACATCTATTTTTCATCCCCCTAAATTTAAGGGTAGTCAACCCTATATTTTTTTTAATTTTTAGATAATTTTTTTATTTTAATTTGTTTATGATACAGCATTAAAAAATACATAGGTACAACCCCTAATTTTCACCCCTTTACGATCAACCCCTATTTTTTATTATAAATGAGATACATGGCAAACGACGTTTGCCGGATCAGCTGGTCGTATTATAAATATGTTTATGTATGTTATATATGTTTCATTGAATGTTACTTTACTAAGCCAAAAAGGGCAGTCATCGCAGCCCAGAAACACCCATTTCAGCGGGTGCGTTGCCGATCCTTGTTTTTATACAGAAATCAAATTTAGATTTTAAAATTTGGCGATTTTACTTACAACATACAATTGAGCATTAGTTATTTCTTTTCCAGGAGTAATGGACGCATTAGCAACCACACGAAACATACTGTTAAATTTCTCTTTAACTTGAAATTTCGAGTTGTCTTCGTTCAAATCGTAAACTGGTACATCAGAGAAATTGTTATTCCCAATAGTATTTATAACACATGTAGTTTTCACATGAAAGTTCTCCGGACAACACTTTTTCAATAAAAACTGTTTTCGACCCAATACCATTGTACAAAACAACAAAACAATTCGTGTTTCCCGTAACATATTTGAAACAATTATGAGTAATTGGGATTCATCACTGAATATTCAAGCAAAGCGGTTTTTCCTGTGTAGCTTGTTTTAGACACGTAACTGTGATTTTATAATTAAACGTCAGAAATCAGATTTAAAATGGAAAACTTATAAAAAATTTTTTGCTCACGGCTATAATGCCATAAGTCAGATATTGGCTGGCAAGTCTAGCTGACGATTTGTCAAGGAAGAAAAGTGTGCTCTTCCTCCTTAATGGAGCCTCAACCAGTTCCACCACTGACTGTTCTGCACAAAGGTACCAGTGCCTGTTGACATTTGGTATAATAAATAAATCAGTCGTCCTACAGGCTTTTTGGTCTGGGTCCACAATTCTGAATAAGTATATTAGGTAAGTAGGTTTGACGACTCATTGCTCTAGTGGTTTGTACCCCTGACTGCGAATCCATGGGTCCCGGGTTCGATCCCCGGCTGAGACGAACATCGATGTGATGAGCATTTGGTGTTGTGCTTAGGTCTTGGGCGTTTAAATATGTATTTATATCTCTATCTATCTATAATATGTATGTATATCCGTTGCCTAGTACCCATAACACAAGCTTCACCAGCTTAGCATGGGACTAGGTCAATTGGTGAGAATGGTAAAAAAAAAAAGTAGGTAATCAGCCTCCAGTGACACACGCCGTCGACTTTTGGGGTCTAAGACATGTCGGTTTCCACACGATGTTTTCCTTTACCGTTGGAGCGAATGTTAAATGCGCACATAGAAAGAACGTCCATTGGTGCACAGCCGGGGTTCGAACCTACGACCTCAGGGATGAGAGTCGCACGCCGAAGCCACTAGGCTAAGGCCTTACGCAAAATGTGTCCGACTTTCGATGTTTTATGAGTTCGTGTCTACGTCATCACCTAACCAGTATCATCTCATATCGGAGTAGTGGCTTTTTTTCCCAAAGTACAGTCCCCTGGACAGGGGGTAAACGAGCTCACCTGATGTTAAGTGATACCGCCGCCCATGCATACTCACATCACACTTACTAGTGCACGGCAAAAAGTGCCTTATAAAGCATTGTTGTGTAACTACAGTCGTAAAGATACTAATAAATTTAATATTGATTTTTTTCCGTCTATTACCTTCCGAGCCCGTGGAAACGTCAAGTAAGATTTGACTTGCAAAAAAAACAAATGAAGCAATTTGGACCGTAGAATTTAATGATTATATTCGTATCAAAACAGACTGCAGGCGGCCATACATAAAAATTATGCATGAATACATTGTATGCGGGGGATACGTTGGGATTTTCAATAATACTTACAATAAGGAAAATATCACAGACTGTACAAAACCGCCTTTATATTTGCGTGCGTTTGAAGGTATGTTGAGCAAGAATGTATGTAAAGTAATTCTCAGTCCTAAGTTCGTGCCTCGGCTGTGCGCCAAAGGACTTAATTAATGCAATTGCTCCGTAAAGGAGAACTTTACGAGGAATCAAGGATGTCACCGACCGAAAAATAGAGCATATTGTAAAATATAAGTTGGTGCTTAAAAAAGCGGCGAAGCTTCTTGTCCATCGGCAAGAAGAACTCTTCCGTCCGTAATTTGAGGAGTAATAGTAATTGTTAATTGGATAATTAATTTTTTATTGACGTTCATAAATGAACATTAAGTTACCTTTAAATATTCTGTTATTAAAATTATTAAGTCTAAATGTTGTTTTATGAGTCTTATTAAATGAAAAAAGATTATATAGTGATTTGACATTTATTCAAGGTTTTTGCGTTACGATTTTTGCTTTAGGCGAATGCAATTTGCATGTGTAATTTTTAAATTCGAATATCACTTTTAGAAACAGTTTGACGTTAATTAGGTATATATGTATTTAAATTCGACTGGAAATGGCTTTTTGATATATACAAATTTTCTTTTGCATTGCATCACTATTCGCTGTTCATGAATCTGTAAGATAAGCTTTTAAGTTTTTAGTTTGTTATTAATATTATTTTTGTATTACTTTAGATTAAGGTTCTATATATATATATATATATATATATATATATTTTATATAACATTTGGTTCTGCACTTCTCGCACGCATCATGTTTCTTTTTTTTTAGTTTTTCTCTTTAACTAGGGTTGCCTGGAAGAGATCGCTTATTAGCGATAAGGCCGCCCGTTAAATCCCTTATAATTTTTATGTATTGTGTTTATTTTATTTGCAACGAAGTGTAAATAAATAAATAAATGACGAGGCACTGAATTGTAGGTCTGATATTAGTTTGTCTTCTGGCGCTGCGTCATGCCCCAATCAATGAACAAAGAAAACACGCATTTAAGTTATGAATGGTAAGTCCACAATGCTATACAGTTCCAGATTGGACTGGCGTCATAATTTTATTACTATGACGTGGGCACATAAAAAAGATGGTCAAAAATGAATACCACCTTCATACTAGGTAATATCTATATAAACTTCATCGCAAAATATGCATACAGGATAATAATATTATTTTTCCTGTTCGTCTCAGCTTTAATCACGTCAAGTCGCTTGTCCAAGCAACTCGTGTAGAACCTGTTCCTAAAGAATGCTACGTGTGAACAAAGATTTAACATGATTCGATTAACAGTTTCAATTCTATTTCTGATATACCCATTGTCGCGTGCGTCTATTGACAGTAATGATATTAATAGGTATACGTACAATTGTACGCATAAAGACGGTGAGTGCGCGAAACAAAAGGTGAATGTGGACTTTGAATTGTGTGCATCAAAAGTTTGTATTTACAAGTGCTGCCCTAGAGATCAGGTGGTGCTTTATTCAGAGTGTGTACAGGCGAAAGCGGGGAATTTGTCTGATGTGGACGTGTATGACTATTACTTGAATAAGGCTAAGAGGAAGTTTAATGAAATTTTTCATGTGATAACGAATAAATACGCGAATAGAGTGTTTGCTGAGAGTGCATACCTTGCGATTTTCATCGGTGGCGATGTTTATTTGGAAGAGGTGAGTTTTGTTGTTGGTTTTCTATAAAATAAGGAAAATCTGCTCAAATACTTCGTACATTCCAAGGCTTTTAAGTAATTAGTATAATGTATTTGTTTAAATATACAGTCAACATACAATTTGACTTTGACTTTAAAGTACAGAATTTTGATTAGGTTCGATTGGAAGAAAAATAATATATGCCATGTTTTCTTTTGTATATAGGTCGGTCGAAAAATCTTAAAATAAACTTTAGGACAAAGGTCGTTTTTTTTTGTAGATTCGTAATAATTTCTTTAAAAAATTTCTTTATATGTAAGCCAAAACAATTTTAAGATTCAGGAATCGAACCTGATGCGAGTGAACAACTCACTGTGCAATACTAGCACCTACAGCTTAAGAATTTATATCTTCCGCCATGAAAGATATGACAGTATAAATTCTCGTAGAACTCATATATTTATAAAAAGTAGTGTTATATATTGTAAAATGGCTCTCAACTTTTTTGTTTGACTATAATCATTAATAAACCGAATTCAGTATTGACAAGCAAACCCGAAAATTCTGATCAACTTTATTAAATTCAGAATAATTTCATTTTCAAATATTAAATTAAGAATGTATGTCTATGAAAATTATTGTGTATTAGGGAATGATGCGTAAGTCATTTCAAGATTGTTTACACTGAGTAAGTAGGCTTATTAAATCTCTCATATCACTGCTTTAATTAAGGCTCTCGGAGTGAGAATGGAAAACAGTCGAAACGTTCGTTAAATTTTGATTAGTCAAATGTTATAATGTGACGCTTTATGGCGGTCATAAACGCGTATTGGACAACATATACTGCTGACTATGAAAATCGAATGCAGATGAAACCCTCCTGCAGACGTTATCTCTAACATCCAACAGCGAAAGTTGCGATAGCGTTTCGGATATTGAGAGAACGACATCGAAACTTGATAGAGACCAGTTTCGTAACTTAAAGTCAAAAGTTCACGTTCAATTTGGCATTTAAGTTCAAGGAAACTTGCAGGCAGTCTGTAGGGTGTTTATGGCAAAGTAATAAAACACATAAAGGGGGAACGCTGCCAGTATCTTCGAAACCTTGCCTAAAGGGACTCCTTTAAATAATATATTTTAGTTATTATATGTTAAGGTTAGTTATTTATTTATTAATAGAACCCTCTAATTTAATTTATTTATACATTTATAATTATTTCTGTATAAAATTTTAAGTGTGTGTATATTTGTAAAGCTGTATTAAATTATGAATAAACACATAAAAACTTAGATATCACAAGCTTTTTACTATAGTGTAAACTTTCGTTTCCGCTGTGTTGATATGAGCCAGAAACAAGTTCTGATCATTTTTGTGAATAATGATCAAAATGTATATATTAATCAAATATAATCTTCCAAATGCGAAGTCACTTCTATAATATAAACTAGCTGTGCTGCACGGTTTCGGCTGTGGTAATTCGGTCTTAGCGTTATGTCATCACATACATCACATTGGAAATAAAAATTTAATTCGCCACCGTATCGAGTCAATCTGTTAATTTCTCGTAAATATATTGCAAAATATGTTATTATATTCAAACCTACTTAGATGATTCATAAGGAAAATATATTGTAAAACCCAAATGATACCGACCAATAGTAAATAGCAAATAAATAATACAACGAGGAAATTCAGGATAAATAATTAATTATATATTTTGTTTCGTATTATTACTGGCTCGGACTTGTATGTCTGAAATTAATTACTAATTAACAGTTAATACTACGGTTGATAAAGATAATTGCTAAATAGAGTACCACCTACTCTTTGATAATATGTGTCAATATTAAACATTAATATTATTTAGCTGAGTTTCATCATCGGACATCATGGCAGAATACAAAATATCATCCTTTTCACCTCGACGTCTTTCGACAATGAGCGTTTCTTAAGGCAGCTTTTACAGCGCACCACCACTATGTGGAACCAGCTGCCCACTGAAGTATTTCCGAGCCAATTTGACTTAGGGTCCTTCATACGTAACGCACTTGAGAGCCTTCTGGAAATGTGAGAGTCCATGGGCGGCAATATCACTTAATATCAGATGAGCCTTCAGCCCGGTTGCCTCCTGTTACATAAAAAAGGATATATGCCGTAAGAGGCTGGATTATGAATTTCCATTCGATTTAGCAATTTTTCTATCGACGCCTCATTAAGAAGCGAATGAAAACGTACCCCTTATTAAAAAAGAGTCGCCCCTTATAAATTCCACGCATTTCTTTCCATTGTGGTATTACATTTTTCGAATGTCACACGTATTCTTAAAACAGAGATGACACCTACAAAATGAAGATCTAATTGGATCAGAGTTGCGTATCACGATGTCAATTAACCTTGTATTACGATCTCCTTCCGGATTTTCCTGAACATGTCACATTCATGATTATTACGCTTGGAGAATTGCTTACCATTACCTTTGTACCTGTATTTACGTATAATAATGGTATAGTAGGAAAAAACTTTAATTTGAGATACTTAAATATATTTCTATCATCTGATTCTTTTAGATATATGTGTGCCCTAGCTTGGCAAAGGAGCTGTCCAAGTATTTCGTAAGCACTATAGCGGGGGGGGGGCGGGGGTCTTTAATTTTCTTATTTGGTGATTACGTCAACAGTAATTAAGCTATTGCATAGACTTTACCGCGGGCTTTGAGCGCGGCGACCGAATCAAGAAATTCCGTAACGAAATAAACCTAACATACGAGACGTAATATAGGTGCGGCCAATACACGTTAGAGCGGGACAGAACACATACTACCTCTCACATCGGTTTAGCGTGATCGGATATGCGTTAGTCTGAGTCTGGTAGAGTGGTAGATTTAATTAATATCAAATAAAATAAAATACTGCAAGAAATAAATAAATAATTATATTGCATAAGTTTATAAAAATGCTATGCAATAGCTTTACCGCGGCAGTCCCCGAGTGCCACACGTATTTTTTTTTTTTTTTTTATAAATATTACTCACACATTGTCTATGCTTGAAAACGAATTCGAGGATTCTTACAAAAAATTACGGTTATGTATGACTACAATATGTACGAACTACATCGGGACCTAGGGTATTGAGATACTTCTATCTTAATTGACAATTGACTAGACCGAAGAATTGTTTCAACGGGTTTAGTTTTGTATCCTTGGTTTATTCAGTTACGCAATCACTAAGCCACAGAGCCTAGGAAGATTATCAAGACAAAATATATTCTTAGGGATCAGTAGCGGTAAATATAAAAAAAAACAAAGCACTTAGTCTAGTTAGAAAACTTAGGAAGTTTTATTCCTTACATAATGATTTTATTAAACTAACTACAACAATAATGAAATAATTATCGAAATCTAAAATTGAGACTAATATATAGAACAACAACTAAACACAACTGAAACGTCCGTCACGTCCGAGAGCCCAACGTAGAATACCCCAATCTTTTTTTTTTAATGGAATCTCGCTGTTGGCCTTAAGGGCCTTTACAGCTCAGCTCGGGCTGTTTTGGCGAGCGTAGCTCGGCCTGAATGGGCGGTTTTCCCGCGACTAGCGCAAGGGCGTCTCCTGTGAGACTCGAACCTCGGCTTAGGCCGTCGCGGGGTGGTAAATCGCCTGAAGGGCAGGACGAAACCTCACTGGAGTGAGCGAAGTACGCAGTAAAGGTCCGCGCCTTCCCCGGTGAAGGCGGTTTTTTACCCTAATCTGTTTTTGGCTACCCCCAATCTGGTGTTCCACTCCTTTTTTTTAACCTCTCACTCGGTCCGGTTTGCTGGGTGGGGATTGTTTTCTAAGAATATATTATTTAGGCTCACAATATAATATATAAAACCTTTAAATTTCAGAGTGGAAGTTTATATGTGGAGATGCCAAATCAGTATAGAAGATGGATACAGATAACGAACAAAGATTTCTGCATAGATTACTCGATGACGGAGAACGACACACTCTCAGATTCGCCCCAGTTCTTCGTAAATTATCAAGCAGAGCCTCCTAGACAAAAGCAATCTACTATATATGTCGTAGGTATGGTATTTTCTGCTTTTAGAATAGTTTTACATTCTAGATCCGCACAATTTAATGCGTAGATATACCTTAGGTAATAAGTTAAAACAATAATGAGTTATTAAACAGGAAAGTATCGGGATTAAGCTTTAAATCTTTAACGATTTTTTCGTCGACAAATTAAAAATAAGTTGATAACGAATCCACGTTCCACAGCTTTTTAAGTTTTTGCCGCGCACCACCACTATGTGGAACCAGCTCCCACTGAAGTATTTTCCAATCAATACGACTAAGAGTCCTTCAATAAAAGAGCGTACCAAATATTTAAAGGGCGGCACGTATTCGCGAGCCCTTTTTCATTGAGAGTGTTGGGCGGCGGTATCACTTGACATCAGAGCCCCCTGTTCTATAAAAAAAAGGAAAGCTTGCGTAAACCTAAATTAATACTCTTACTTCCAATAGCGAAACAATGCCGACGCTTTTATATGTAAGTTCGATGTAGTCTCAGTAGGTATAGGGCTGATTTCCCAACCTTGGGATCGAGCGAAACTAATCGTATTATTGGGTAGAACCAGTAGACCCAATAGATATAGCGATTGGGATCCCAACTTCAATGTTGAGGACCACGGGATCCTTAATTGCCAACTCCACTTATGTACCCGACCCTGTTTGTTCTGGGTATGGTGGGATATGACCAGCTACGCCTCAGAAGAGAGCTAGCCTTGTCGGTGTATATATTTAAGATACTTACGGGTCGGGTTCATAATCCGGATATAATGGAGAGACTGACTTTTTTTTTTTTTTTAATTTATATAATGCTACAAATGTAATTATTTTTTTTTGTATCTCACACACTGTTTTGTTGTGTTTTTTTAATATTTTTATTACTCTTTAATGTTAATATTCTAAGGTTTCGATATTTGTAAATATGTGAGGAACATGTATACTAACTTTTTTAGTATAGTAGTTTATTCTAAGAGTACATTGTCTTCACATATAATTATTTAACAAATGTAACAAAATATTGTAAACCTATTTTAAAAGAGTAAGTGTGGAGTTTCTTGCCCATTCTTCTCCACACGAAACTACCTTTTGGAAGGGGCAACTAGAATCATCTTTATATTTTTTTTTTTTTGACGTTCAAAAGTGCCATTTTAGATGGTCTAATTGAAATAAACGATTTGACTTTGACTTTGACTTTGACTGAGTCTACGGGTACCAAGTAGAAACCTGAGGCGGAAGTCTCAACTTTTGGATGTACCTCGCGCACATTCCAACTTGGTTAGCGAAGCACCACTCACGCGAGCAATACACATAATAAATAAGATTTCTGTTAAGGTAGACCTATTTGTTTGTACACTGGCTGAGTTCACAAGAGTTGCTTCCTATATTATTAGTTATAAGATGTAGGTATATAAATATGTTTTTTATCTAGCTTAATTGGTGTGGGTATAAATGTTGTGTCGTTCTATCGAATTAGTAATTACTGTAATGATAGAATAATGATATGGAATAAATAAATAAATAAATAAACTCACTGCATTGAGCTAAAACCTATAGACTATAGTAGTTAACTTCTATAATTAAATATTTGCACGCCATTATATGTGCCAGAATGTGCGAAGTTTTGATTGTATCATTCTTGTACTTGCAAATCAATGATTATGATAACTCCATAAACATTACGAAAACGTCGAGATCGCTATTCGCTATTGAAATGGTTCACATTTAAATAATGACGATGGATTAATGATTTAGAAAATATTGTTTAAATTTATGTATAGAAATACTTACGATTGACGCGTTTAATAAGGAACAATTAAGCATCATTTTCTCAAACTATTAAATTACATAAATATATAATAAGCAGTGGTCGCAAAATATTGTATTTATTTATTTAAAACGGCTCCAAGGCCACACAACATAATGATTATTATATGTCTTTAAATCGTTCAGCAGCAGTGGCTTATCCTTGAGTTCTTGTGTTCGATTCCCGGCACACCAAATGAACATTCTATCTTTGTGCGCATGAAACATTCGTTCGCGCGGTAAAGGAAATATCGAGAGGTATAAGGCAAGCCGCCAGCCGGTTTGGCTTAGACCCGAAAAGTCGTGTGTAAGGTACAGGAGGCTGATCACCTTGTTGCCTATTAGATTGACAAATTATGAAACAGGTACAGAGAACTGAGGCCCAGACCTAGTTATAGCGCCACTGGTTGATAAACAAGTTAAAAAGTTTATACAAACTAATAATCGAATTAATGATTAAAAACTAAAGCAATATGGAAATTATAATTTGTTTGTTTTTTTTCAGCTTTGGGAATATCATCTGTATTTCTTTTCCTGGTACTCCTCATATACATCTTACTACCGGAGGCTCAGAACTTAGTAGGCAAGATTCGTATGTGCTACGTTAGTAGTTATATTGGGTATTTTGTTTCTGTGGCGGTTGTTCTGGATGGTTCACATTCGGAGACAACATGCAAAATTTTGTGTAAGTATTATTTAATATACACAATTGTCGTCTAATATATAGAATTCTCGTGTCACAATGTTCGTTCCCATACTCCTCCGAAACGGCTCAACCGATTCTTATGAAATTTTTTATGCATAATCAGTAAATCTGAGAATCGCCTACTATCTATCTTTCAAACCCCTAAAGCGGGCCATAGACGGACCGCATATTGCAGTCAAGATCGACTGCAATATGCGGTCGCCGCACGGCGATCTGCAGTTTCCATACTAAATTCATATTCGCAATACACGGACCGCTCGAGCAGTTCCTGAGCAAACCGCATATTGCAGTCGGTCTTGACTGCAACATGCGGTCCGTCTATGGCCCGCTAAAGTGATAAGGGGTGCCACCCAAAAACATTTATTTTTTTATTTTTATGATACAACATAAAAATACATACAACCCCTAATTTTTATCCCGCTACGATCAACCCCTATTTTTTATTATAGTAGATAGTTATTTTTATTGCACTAAATAATGTTTCCATGGCACAACGTTTGTCGGGGCAGCTAGTTTTTATATAGAATAAACGGACCGTCGAATTTGTTATATTCGTTTTCGACTTTCTACATACACTACTGTTAAGGCATCTTGACTAAGCCCACAGGACCCTAGCCTGATGAGATTTGCGTTGTCTATTAAGAATTTGCTTGAATTTTTTTTTAAATTTTCGACGAAGACTTGGTTCGACTTTGCTTTTTAAATATTTCGCCAATATTATGTTTGTGTCATTCATCTCTTATCATACTTAATCAAAAGCATTCTTAATAAAAACTAAACATTCTTACGAAGCTTAATTCACCCATGCCTAGCAAATATTTCATAATATGGCATTTTGAACCGAACTGATTTGTACAGTTTTTACTACAACGATTAAAGGTCATACTATACTATTTGAACTTAGGTATAAGATGCGAGATAATTGGGTATTTGACCATCTGTATTCTATCTAAGGGTGCGTCCACATCTGGCGAATGCGCCGCGAATATGCAGCTCGCGAGCAGTTTGCGATCTGCGCGCGTGCATTTATGTTCGTGCGCCGCTACTGCGCCGCCCGCGCGCAGTTCGCGCGCAGTTCACCCTAACGCTTCGTTTAAACTATGAATTTCTGATTAATTAAAAAAAAAATTGTTACAGCATTCATTGCATATTTCTCCATCATAGCAACGTGCTGTTGGATGAACATCATGTCGTATGATATCTGGTCGACATTTCGGTATGATTTTTCAAATATTAATAGTGACTTTATTTGAAGAAAACCATACAAATTCTTACAATATACAATAAATATCAATATCAAAGCACTTTTAATGGTCACACAATATTCATCACCAATTGAAATTAATATAACAATTTAAAGTAATCTCTTTAGAGGAAAATCCTTGAAATAAAGCTTGCATTTGTGTTTATCATGTATTGGATATCACAAAGCCCCAGGAAAGGTTCATTTCTGGATTATTTTACTAACGCAAACAAATGTTCGGCGGGCAACCAGACGAGGAGCTACGCCTTATACACACCGCCTTAACTTAACAAATAATTACTATATTATTTTATAGATAAAGTATTCATAAACGCATTTCAATTTGATAAAAAACTTTTAGGTAAGTTGTAAATCATAAGCGTTTCTTGTTTTAGCTTACTACTATTGTTACATTACAGAACTAGAGGAAGTACAAAGTTTTCTGGGTCCAGTGAGAGGCGGAGAATAGAAAAGAGGAAATTCCGTCGATACTGCTGTTACGGATGGGGAATTCCACTAAGCATGGCCGCTGGTCTGATGATAATCAACTCCCTTGACCTTTCTGGTCTGCCTTGGTTCATCACACCACAGATTCCAACTTGGGGATGCTTTTTAATAGGTACGTGTCTTTCCTAGAGGTTAATGAACCTGGGGTTTATTATGACACTTTTTAACCAAACTTATTAAGCCACAAATCGATTCCAGAATATCTGAGTTATACGTTGCGTACGTAAGCTACTGAAGTGGTCTGGATTTGTCTTCCTTATTATATAAAAAAACTTTAGAGGTGTCAAGGGACACCCGGATGGAACGAAATTCCTTGCGATTAATTTATATGTTAATTGGTATCATAACAGTATGATAGATTTTCTCGACACCAAAAAAAAAAAGCCAACATCACGAGGTGTTCCCAGGCGGTCACCCATCCAAGTACTGACCTCGCCCGACGTTGCTTAACTTCGGTGATCGGACGAGAACCGGTGTATTCAGTGGCGTAGCTACCAAGGGGCTAGGCGGGGCAGTGCCCCGGGGCCCTCAAGCTCAGGGGGCCCTCGAATCCTCACCAGAAATGTCGATCATTCTGAACTTTTGGAAGTTTCTTTCACCTTTATATAATAAACCCTTGAATCTTCTGTATTTCATTTTATTCGCCAAACCTACACCAAGTATTAATTGTAATTTATGTTGTTTCTGTTTAATATTTTTATTACCTGCCCTGCACAAAAAAGAGCTTAAGTAGCTTAGCATTTTCAAAGTATTTGTAAATTTCATATTTTGATCAGTTTACACAGCAGTGGGGCCCCATTTTTTAATTTGCCCCAGGGCCCTTGGTCACCTAGCTACGCCACTGGGTGTATTCAACGTGGTATGGAATAAATACTAAATCTAAAATGTAAAATATAACAACTATAGCAAAAAGTGTCGTTACAACTTTTGGTCTTAATTTATTCCGTCTAGCCCCCTTTCGCAACGCTCGATAACTTCGTTCCAACAAGACTAATTTAGTTAAGTGATTCCAAAAATAATTTTCATTTCTTATCCCTACAAAAAAAAGCCAACATCACGAGGTGTGGCGGTTTTTTTTTTTTTTTTTACTTGGGGAAATGCCTTGCGCATACCCTACCGCGGTGCGACTGCTTAGTGCGGGAGGGTTATGTGGGACTCGCGAATGTACATACCCACTAAAACCCCAAGGCGCCACCAACAATCGCCTTAGGCGGGATGCGGTAACAGCAGAGCCTTATCCGCTTCCCGACATGCGATGCGGCAGTTGTGTCCGCCTCTCCCCATTGTTGATTTGTGAAGATACTTGACACAGCAAGTATCCTTCACAGATCGGGCCATACGCTTTTATGGATAGCTAGGGGAGATCGGGTCCAGTGCTTGCAGGGATGGATCACCATACCTTCTATTGAACGCATGGACCCCTGCTTCCCCGCTTGGGCACTCTTTAGGTGGCGAGGATTTGACGGGCCTGCGGTTTCTTTCGCCGCCGCGGACGAGTTCCGGGACAAAGCTCCCTGGTTCTTCCCGCTTCTTCTTTGACTTTCATGACCGACTCGCAGAAATTATAGAAGATTTTCCACGAGCCGTCATTTCCTGCGCTTAATATGGCTTTCACTACGTTTGGCAGTATTGCGTCCTCGCCCTGGAGAGCATCTAACAAAGGTCTCCTTTCCACTTCCCATGCTGGGCAGTCCCTCAGTGTATGCAGGGCGTCGTCCCGGTTGTCTCCGACACAGTGGTGACAGGTTGGTGACTCCTCACACCCTACTACTTTGTGCAGATAACTACCAAAGCATCCGTGTCCGGACAGCATCTGCACCAGTGGCGGATTTATAGATTTGCCGCCCGTAGGCTATTCAATTTTTGCCGCCTCTAAATTTTGATATCTTAGTCCACAATCATATCAATTTTCTATCAATAAAATTCCAACTTCATAATTTGTGCTCCATCATCCTCGTTACATCAACTTTTCCCATATAGTTATTATTATTGAGAACTATGGTACCATGTTAGATCAGCAATTGCATGCCTTAAGTACGAAGCGCGTAGTAGGTATGCTCTACTCTGCCTAAAAATCTAAATCCGATGTTTTCTCACATTAAACCGTACCTAACAAATATGATGTACATGAATATTATTTAAAAAGCAACTTATCGGAATGAAAAATGATCGCTGAGCTTATAAAAATTATTTTTTCGGTTATGATTAATTATTTTTTATTTAAAAGGAAGTAATTTTAATGCCATATTGTATGGATTTTGGATGATCGTGTTCACAGTAAACACGATAACTTTCGAAAAAATAATTTTTTCACTTCAATTTTTTTTTAAATACTTGTTTAACTGGAGAGAAGCCGTTGAATAAAAAATTGCAGCTGAGTATTGTTTTATCTTCTTATAATTAATTCATTCCGATTGGCATTTTCTGAAAAAGTTATCAAATCTACTGATGTAAACATTTAATTTAAATAATTCGTGTACGACATGAGCGCTTAAGGCCTGCTCATTTGGATTTTACAAACTTTTTCTTACTGCAAATAAAATAATTAACTTATAAAATGTATCAATTTTCTAATGAGCTAATTGTCTTACTTCATATTTTGTGGAGGGAATTTTTTTATTGTCAAGTCACAGTCGTTCAACTATCAGTTATTTGATTAATATGATCTCTTATATATTGAACTAGTTTTTAATATCTTATATATTGAACTAGTTTTTTATTTAATAAAAATTAGTCAATTTTAGTCAGTATTTTTATTAGACCATCGATATTATATCGATTGAATTGGGTAAGCAGATCTCATAATTATTAGGTACACGGAGGAAAAATTATAGCAGTTATCAGTGAAGAATATATGTAAAAATTACTAAATTTCGATTATAATATCGAATCGCGATATTCTAAAAGTTCATAATCATTAATGTATAATTAGTAAAGCGTTTAGGAATTGTTCATGCAGAGATGTTGAAATATTTATTAATTAGCACTGTATATGAGAATATTTCGATTTTTGTTAAATATTTTAATTTCTCTCCAATTTTCTAAATTCGTATTATGTGTGTGTTTTAAATAATTTTTTTTTTAAATTTGTAAACCGAAATATAAAATTTATGAACTAAATTTGCCGCCCCTAAAAATTTGGCGCCCTAGGCTCCAGCCTACTCAGCCTGCTGGTAAATCCGCCACTGATCTGCACAAGTCGATAGCTGAGGTGACCCCAGCGCCTCTTTACCCAAAGTTGAAGCAAAGGTCTGAGGGCTTCGGTAGTATATTTACCGGCACTCGCACCCGCCAGCTCGCTTTCCCACTCTACTAACAATTGCTGGTCTTCTAAGGCTCGCCACGCGTTTAATTGTTCCAGTGTGGGGTTATCCCCTTTATCCCGAGCTTCGGCCCTCCTCCAATATACTTCGCTAAAAGCAGCCGCATCGAGGTGCCATGGCGCGGTACCGGCTATAACACACACTGCGTCATAAGACACAGTGCGGTACGACCTCGCAACGCTGGCAGCGACCACTCGCTGCGACTGCCTGAGTATTGCGCGATTGTACCCGGTCAGTTTGTCGGCCCATATGGGACACCCGTACAGTGCTTTTGCCCGGATCGCATTAGCGTATAAGAGGCGACACCCCCACTCGGCCCGCCGAGGTTTGGCATTATGCGCGAGAGCATGTTTGCGGTGGCGGTGAGCTTAGGGGCAAGTGCCACGAAGTGTGGTCTGAAAGTCCACCGTGGGTCAAGAATCAGCCCAAGGTATTTGAGCGTGGTACCGACCCGGATAGCTACTCCGCCGACAATGATGTCTGCGTCTTGAGGTGGAGCTTTTCTGTGGCCGTAGAAGCATATAGCTTCTGATTTCTGAAGGGCGACAACAAGGCCGAGCTTATTAATTTCAGAAACCACCCTAGCTACTCCAGCTGTCGCTCGGAGGCGCGCTTCCTTAAAATTTTCTCCAATAGCGACCACGAGGGTGTCGTCTGCATAGCATATAGTTGACACTCCAGGGACTAGTTTCGCTCGCAGCACCTTATCGTAACCTATGTTCCAAAGAAGGGGGCCAAGAACCGAACCTTGTGGGACGCCGCACTTGATGAGGTGACTCCCTATGCCATTTTGTTTCGGGAAGATAACCCGGCGGCCGTTGAGGTACGATGCTACACATTTTCTTATATAGGCCGGTAAGCCGTGGTGGCGCAGGCCGTCCGCGATACAGTCCCATGGTAAGGAATTGAAAGCGTTCGCGATGTCTAACGATACCGCGAAAACCACTCTGCCCCGTGACACCTGCTCCTCGCAGACGCTTCGCAGGCGTGCAATTGCGTCGATCGTTGACCTATGTTTCCGGAAGCCGAATTGAGCCTCATGTATGTTTGGTCCTATAGTTTCCAAATGATTGTAAATCCGACCGGCAATAATACGCTCGAAGAGCTTGCCGGCTTCATCTAGGAGAACTATAGGTCGATACGCTGATGGTGACTCTGGAGGTTTTCCATCCTTTTTTAGAAGAACTAGCAACCCAGTCTTCCATGTTGACGGAAAGAGGCCATTTCTAAGACATTCCGTGAGGAGGCCTCGAAAGCGCATGTCAAGACCAGCGTCGAGGGCCAGAGCTACCACTCGTCCGTGCATGCCATCGGGACCAGGTGCAGTTTTTTTAGTGGTCATGCGCGCTATTGCTGTCTTCAGCTCCGAAGGAGATACTTCAGACACTGTGACACTGTGTTCCGTAGTCGTCTCATGTGGGGAGCTCAGGGCGTCGCGTTCAGGAAAAAGTTCCGCCACCACTGTGCTGAGCAGTTCCGGCTCCATGTTTTTCGTGAGTGGCGGGGCCCACGAGCGCAGCTTGTTTGTGACAATCTGATACGGGCGTCCCCAGGGATCCCGCTCCAGGGTGTCAAGCAGTTCTTGCCATGCTTTCTTTTTTGCTTCGGCGATACCTATTCGCAGCGCCAGTTTTGCATCTCGGTATACGCTATATGCTTGTTTTTCCTCTTCTATGCGAATTGGTCGCCTTCTGCGAGTCCTGGTGTAGCCTCGACGAGCTGCTACACAAGCTACCCGCAACTGGGCGAGTTCTGCCGACCACCAGAATACACTGGTCCGGTGAGCTCCAGGGCGTCTTCTTTGCATTGCGGCATCCGCGACGCAAGTCATTGCGCCACGAAACCACTCTGCCTCTTCCTCTGGATTTACGGAGGCTGGGATCGGGCACCAGGCCTGCACAATCGTAGCCAATTCCGCCTGTTCCTTGTTAAGACTCCCAAGTGCCCATTTTGGGCCCAGTTCTGACGGGTCCGAGCTAGGCTTGGCCGACGGAGAGAGAGTGCGGAAGCGGATATACCGGTGGTCCGAAAGCGTCTCAACCCCCGTCAGGACCTCCCAGTCCTGAACACAGCACGAAAGATGGGGGCTCGTGAAAGTCACATCCACAATCGATTCTCCGTTTGTTCGAACACACGTAGCTTCAGAGCCCCTGTTGGCCACTACCAAACAGTGCGCTGCTGCCCAGTCCACCAACGCTTTTCCTCGTGGGCGAGGTGTGGCGGTCACCCATCCAAGTACTGACCTCGCCCGTCGTTGCTTAACTTCGGTGATCGGACGAGAACCGGTGTATTACAATAGCAAATAGCAAAAAAGTGTCGTGACAACTTTTCGTAAGAATTTTTTCCGTCTAGCCCCCTTTCACAACGCGCGATAAGGAACTTCGTTCCAAAATTCGGTTCAAAGATACCTTATTTCTTAAAGAATCACATAGTGAGAACGTTTAAATTTAAGATAGGTTATATAAAAGCAATATAAAATAAAAGTATTAGTTGATCTGCAAATATTTAAATATAAAATTTGTCGTGTAAAATTGATTTAGCAAAGTATAGAAAAAAATAAACAATATGTTTGTATACTTTTACATAGTGCAGGTTAATCGATCGATGTTACAACAGGCATTGTGACTAATGAATCGTAATGATTTCTTAGACAGTCATTCACAGATAAATAAACAAAATAATAGTAAATTCAAACGTTAGATGATTTGGGTAATGGGATCTGAATAGTCGATAAATTCTCAACTTACTGCCGCAGAAAAATTGTTTTACCTTGTTTCGATCTTTGTCGCGGACTAAAATTTTCCTAGTCGGTCAATTCCCAGGCTCATTATTTATTCATTTACAGCATAGATGCTAAATAATAATTATAATAATTTAAGTAAGGGCCAGCGGTGAGTCCCAAAAAAAATAAAGAAAATGTTATCGCGCCGATATGAGATAAACGATCAATAATCTATTTTTGACTAATCACTAATTCGAGGATTTGACCGATATGAGTTATCCGATAAAAGCTGTCGATGTATGTTGCCCGCTACCTTTTATAATGCTGTTGCTTCAGAGGGGTGGTATTGTATACAACAGGTATTGATTATACGGGGCAAAGGAGTTGCAATGGATACGTAACAAATATATCTGTGGCCATAGGTCAGAATATGATAAATGCAATTTAATTATTTTACTAAACAATAAACTACGAGCTCCCTGCTTATCAGAATCCCAAATCATAAAATGACTGCTTCACGACTGATTTGAGCGCGACCGCCGATGCGAAAACCGCTGTGTGAGTTCGAAAAGTGAGTTACAGAATCGCAAGGCAGGACAAGCAATGAAGTTATTGAGAAATCTTGAAGGCAATATTAAAATATGAAACACTCGATATATCAACAAAAAAGTATATTAGTATTCAAGACACCAGTAATAATTTGCATGTAGTTATCCTGATATGACCAAATGAAATTCTATGTATATTTATAAGTCATACTGAGCAAAAATGTACTTATCATTGTCTGATCTATGACAATAGATATACCTAAACTTACATACTACCTTAAACGACAATTTTATTTTATTTATACAAACAACTAATATCTTATCAAACTGTAAATATTTGTTGGTGTAATGTAATTTAAAAATATGTTGAATGATAAACTTCTGAATAGTTTTATCTTATGTATGGCATATTTTATTAGTTTCTACTCGTACATCCTATCTGTCAAATGGTGTTTACAAAGTGACGAAAAGAGACAGACATATTTGTATGACAAAAGGGATAAGTCTAAAAATATTCACCTAACTTAAAATTGTCTAACAAAGTCAGCAGCTAATGCAACCTGCAGCTGAGTTTCATTATCGGACTTCAAGGCAGAATACAAAATACCTCGTTCCACAACTGAGCGTTTAAGGCAGTTTTTGCCGCGCACCACCACTATGTGGAACCAGCTGCCCACTGATGTATTTCCAAGAAAAAAGTTTACTAACTCTTGAAAGGCCGGCAACGCACCTAACATCAGGTGAGCCTCCTGCTCGTTTGCCTCCTATTACGTAAAAAAAAATATTCGTTCGGTATTTTTACTCACCATACTCAAACTACAAAAATAACTTTCAGACGGCCAGCAATTCGTATACATGTACATACCGATGATGATTCTTGTGGGCGGGAACTGTTTATTGTTTCTGCTGACTGCGTGCAGTATTTGGGAGTCAATGAGAGGAAATGAAGTGCTGGGACCAGCTGCAACTAAGCGACAACAACAAAGGTACATTTTGGTAATTTAATTATTAACGAGCGAGAGACTCTCATTGCTTATAAGAAGATTTGAACTTCGACTGTGGACCAATGGACGAATCTATGTGCGCAACTCACTTGTACGGTGAGGGAGCGTTCAAGTATTACGTCACGCAATTTTTGGACATTATACCCCCAGTCTCTCGTATGACACGGATATTCAACCATATAACGCGGGGATTGAAAACGCGTTTCCTATAACGCGGAACCAATCCAGCGTGTATTAACGTGGAGGGATAACTGTATAATATATGTTTTTGTTGTACCTTCCAGATATTGGATGCAAAAAGCATTAGAAAAAGCATCCATTTTCTATCTATAATAGTCGACGTTAATCTAAATCGGGTCTTAAGAATATGGCCAGGTTCACACGGCATTGTCCTGCACGTTTTTTTGCAGTATACGTCTTAACGAATAAATAGTGGCACATGTATTGTAAAACCATTCACACGGCGTTTGTACTGCAAAATATCGTACACCGTTTATACGTTCAAGCGAATACTCAACGGACTTGTCAAGCAAATCGAATGAACTTTAACGTTAATTTGGTTTAGAGGGGGAACATAATATAGCTCTGTCTCGTTCTCGCTCACTGTGACAACTGTGTGAAGACTGTGGCTATTCGTATTTTACACGAATGAAAATCTACCATGTGAACACCCGGGTGAAAGTACGTTAAAAAACGAATACGAAGAAAACGTGCAGGACAATGCCGTGTGAACCCAGTCTATCGGTCTCGCAAGTGCGTTATCGGCCTTTTAAGAATTGGTTTGGTCTATTCTTCAAGGAACCTAAGATTATTTAATAATATAACATTTCGAGTGCTTTATAGTTGAAATCTCAGAGAAGTTTAAAAGACAAGTTCTTGCGTACTGTGTTAGAAAAATATAATATACAAAGTATGAAAGTACAGACTGCAGCGCCACTGCCGGGCTGATTTGTAAATCTAAACCGTCTAAGGCGCCACCCAAACATATACTAAAAATTCATTCAAATCGGTCCAGTCGTTTAAGAGGAGTTCGGTGACTTACACACGTACAATTGAGTTATATATACGTACGTATATAAAGATATTCACTAATATTCTTAATGCCTACACCAGGTTCAAGATATGCGTGCGGCTGTCAGTGACAATGGGTGTGAGTTGGATATGGGAAGTGATTAGTTTCCTGGTACCAGCTGCTGATGAGTTTGCCCTGTACCTTGACCTGTATAATGGCTGCATTGGATTCTTGATCTTCCTCATCTTCGTTTGCAATAGACGCAAACTAGCTCACCTCAAAGCAAGGTAAATTTATTTATTGCAGCAAGCAAGAAAAAATCTGGAGTGGAGTATCTATTTCCACCGATTTCTGGCCAGTCTATTATTACAGTGGACAGTTTTGAGTCTGTCACTTGATGAGTCTATCTGGTCGGTGAACGGTCACGTGATCTTTTGCCTTCTATATTTCTATCCACGATCAGTTTCTCCAAGTTATCATCGCGTCTGTGCATGGGCGTAATATGAGATGATTCGTTGGTGTCATATGGTAGACAGGCAATTTTATATGCGGGGTTGGGTCAAAATGTATTGGTGCTTATTATTAAATTGGCCCGAATTCTGGATGAGACTAGAACTGAGAAGTATATACTAGTTACGACCATATATTTGAAATTTGGCAGATCTAAAGTGGAGATGCCCTTAGGCCCAAACCCATATCCAGATTCACTTGTCTGTTACTTAGTAGAAGGTAGTTGAAATTAAATTCTTTAGCTATCCAGGGGCAGGGAAGACGCAGCGCCCCTTTGATACAAAGGGAACTGAAATGGGGAAAATGGTGAATATTTTCAATGAAAAAAATAACTACAATTTAAAAAAGTGCAATCATAAGGTTGGAATTTATGACATCAATCGACTCATGTGCGATGTCTATCGAACGAAACGGGGAATTCCCCGTTTCTTGTTTTCGGTCGTTGTAGTTTTTCGCGTGTGCGTCTATTACTGACTACTTCCCTTTAATAGCCCAGAGCCCCACAAATTCACGATCCGCCCTTGTATCAAGGTTAATTAATTAATTTTCCTGTCTGAAAATGCTTTAGTATTTCGTTATTGACGTTTATGTTCTGTGTTCTGTGTTCTTCTAGATTTCAATCATGGCGTCACCCGAAATCTTTCAATCAGAATACGAGTAACGATTCGCAAGCTGTGGCGATGAAGAGATTGGACAACTCTTTAAGCACTGTCGAGTTTTAGAAATAAGTTTTGACTGATTTACTTACATTTTAAGTTTTATTACTTTAAATATTATACCATGGCCAATTTTGTCTTATTTCTCACGAACCAGAGAAACATATATAAAAACCCTCATAGCTATTGTAATAACGGCTTTAGTCGTCTCATCAAATTGACAAGAATTAATAAATTAATCTAAAATAATACATAAAAATATAAGCAAACTAAGAACTACTAAACTGTCTAATAGTTAAAAAAGAAGCATTAATTATGACATATGGGTTCCATTTAGCGCCCATTCTAAATCTGAGAGTAGGTTAGGTAAGTTGACCAGCTGCCCACTGAAGTATTTCCGAACCAATTCGACTTAGGGTCCTTCAAGAAAAGAACGTACACATTCTTCTAAGGTTGTCAAAGCACTCGCGAGCCCTCTGAAATTGAGTGTTCATTGGTGACGGTATCACATCAGAAGACCGTTTGCCCCTCTGTTATTTAAAATAAAAACTTACCTCTGTACATCAGCCTGCGCTTAGCAATTCCGAGAGAAGTACAGAAATGAGATAATTATCTGCTTACGATAAAATAATAAAACCAATTCATCTGTCATCGTTTTTATTTTATTTAGATTATTTAACAATTAAGATAATTTTGAATTAATATTCGTTCTAAACGTTCGTATATTCCGTGCTAAGATTGTGCGGTCACTGTTTCCAGCATTCTAAGCAAGAAATGGTCTCTGTTCACCTGAGAACTGCCTATGTACGTTTGGATCTCGACACACATTTGCTGGGGTTTCTTGACTTAGAGTCGATTCCAGAGTAATGTTTGCTGTCATTGATCTTTTTGGAAGGCTAGCACGTCTGAAGCTTTTGTATCTGAAACAAATTTTTATTATGGAAGAGAAATGAAAAGTTTATTACACATAATATATAAGGATTTTTAGTTAAAAGACAAAGTGCTATCTTTCTTATATGTCCTATATTGTAAAGAATGCTTGATAAGTTAGACAACGGCAAAGAGAGCACTCAGTATAAACAAATATTATGAATGTGTTAATGTTTCGGCAATCACTGCCTTAATTTAACAAGAAGTTTTTTATATACAAAAGGGTTACAACGGACAGAAGGCTAAGTGATGTTAAGTGACACCGCCGCCCATAGACAGTCAATGACGGAGGGCCTGCAAATGCAAAGGCCGGCCTTTTGAGAATCGGTACTCTTTTCTTAAATAAGCCTCAGTCGACTTACGTAAGTGGAAGTTACTATGATTGACAGTTGTAGTTGTTCATTGTTCAGGCATTTTAGCCTAAAATAAAAACACTTACCTGTTCTTTAGTTTATTCAAAATAGACTTCTTCCAGATGAAAATTAGAAATATAGTAATCCCTATAAGGAAGTTGTAAGCGTCTGAGATGTACCAAATCTTAAGATCAGGGTAAAATGAACTGACAACTTCAAGTAACCAGTTAATTCCCATTATTGCTGATAACTTCAAATACACTGTGAATCTGGAAAGGAAGCGTTTCGATACAAAGTGTATTTTTAGAATTTTAAACATTCGAGAAATTAACTCTTCTTTAACTCTTTTGGATCCAACAGGCATCGCTAGAGTCGATGGCAAACGGCTGGATCCATTGGAGGATGGGACGAGGTTAAGCTAAAATATAAGTATGTCCTGCATTTATTCCCTTGATGTGTCCCAGATGTTTGAAGACTCTTGGGTTTCAAGAGTGCATAGGCAATAGTACTACCACCTGAAGCTATCCTCGCTCAACGAATAGGTATCGCAATACAGCGAGGAAATGCTGCCAGCGTTTAAGGGAGTCTCTTGAGTGGCACAGGCGCTAATTAAAGATTTAAGAGCTGGTGCTTTTCTCAGTCAACGAATAAGTATAGCAATATAGCGAGGAAATGCTTCCAGGATTAAAAATTATTATTCCAGGATTAAATTATAATTGCCACGCTGCCCACAGGTGTCAAACATTTGTAATATGTTTTAATTTTATATTTATTAATTTTTATTTATTATTACTCATATTATCAAGAAACAAAACATAAATCACACATTTTCATCTGAATGTTGATAATTAGAATACATAGTTACCAATAATTACAGTACTTGGGTTATAAGGCTGATGTTCCGAAACGTGGCTTTTCTTAGTATGCTCTTTTCTAAATTTCACCCTAAGTATTATTGCCTTTCAAACAGAAATATAATGTTTTTGGCCTACATATAAGCGTAATTATCTTTGACTTGGTATTTTAGGGCAAGATTGAGAGTCGAGAGAGAAGATCGGAGAAGTATGAATGCCGTATGTCAAAATCCACTTTTTACACATACCTATATTAAGTGTTCGTTTGGCAGCACGACGCTGTTCGATGGTTTCCATTTACTACATTATTTATTTTCTATAACAAATATTTGATTCGTTTTAACATTTAAGACATTTTAAACGATTTTTTTATATAATACGGGGCAAACGGGCACTGGCTGACCTGGTGTTACGTGATACCGCCGCGCTGTCCTTAGATACTTACATTGTCAAAGGGCTCGCAAGTGCGTGCATTTACCTACCTCCGTTTCTGTGATCGGTGAGCTGCCGGGTTACCAGCAGCTGGAGAGTTGAGCACTTGAGTGCCTCGCCTTAAACGCCTCACGTTGAATGCCGTCATGCCGAAAAACAACCAGTTTCCAGAAATCATTATCAGCATAGGAAAGTACAAGTATACTAACTTTTGCCCAGCTAAAAATCGAAATGCAAATGTGATTTTTTCAATATTTTGTAGAACTGATGGTTTTGATCTAGCATCTCATTTATACGTTCGACTCAAAAATTATTGGACTTTGGCATTTCCTACCCTAAGTGTTCCTCAATTAATATTTAGTTACTTTATTGTTTTCTTTGATATATTTAGATAGTTGGATTAAAATGAATTTATTGTTTCCAATCCAAAACTTAACGTGCTTAATTATATGTAAAGATTTGTTTAATGGCGTAGAAAGGATTATATTTAGCAAGTAGGTCATTATAAGCTGTCAATCTTTCGCAATAATTAAAATAAATATTTTAGGCATAGCATACATAATAAAACAAGTGTTTAATTAGTAATAATACTAAACAAGTGAGTCTATTGTTAAGGCGGCCAAGCTTCAGGTATATATAGGCACCAAAAGAAGAAGAAGAAGAATATTAAATTAAACTTGTGAGTAAGTTTTTTATACAATTTAGATTACATTTTTATATGACTTTATTAAATATTTCTGCCGACTTCAATGTTCCTTTCCAACCACATTTTTGTGGAACCTCAACGTGTGAAATAACCAGGTCTCGTAATTTATGTATATAAGTAATTATACCTTGTAAGAAACATCCATTTTCCGGTACAAGAGGCTTGACAATCCACGGCTGGTCACTCAGATCTGCTTCATTTACCTTCATAAATGCTAAAGTCATTGCTAAGGGAACTCCCCAAGCATAAATACAGTACATACAAAACTTGAAATTTTCTCCTCTGCGATGGATTGGACGAGCTTTCGCGTAGCCCCTGAATGAAGGAAATGCGTAAGTTGTACAAAAAATCACACAGAAAAAAGACTTTAATCGATGTAAAAATGTTTTGTTAATGTTGTGTGTTCGTCAGTCAAACTGTGTAAAAATGAATAATTACGTTTTTCTTCCATCTCAAAGATTAATTTATTGCAAATGTATTTATTATATAGATTTTATTTGTTTATTTATATTTTATATTATTTATAAGTCCTAACAACATATAAATGCTTAAAATATACAAGAAAATATTACTTCACACATCAATAATATTTAAACATATAAAATTGAAACTAGCAATGAAAGAAGTAAACACAAGCAAACAGCAAAAAAATCTAAATTTAATTAGAAACTTAAAGCTCATTAGGAGCAATATACCCAAAACTACTGTAAGTTGGAAGATTGTATAAAATTGTAAATAAACATTTTTGTACTTTTTAAATTTTTATCTATCATAACATTGCATCAAAGATATGAATTGTTAACATACCGGAATGTCCACCAGATATCGAAAGACATAACGTTCATCCACGCAAACGCAGCCAAGAAGAAGAAGTAGATAACGATTGCTGAAAAAATAATTAAATAATATTTTTAAATTTTGCTAAGAATTTTCAAGTTTCAATTTTTTTTAAGCTATTGCATAGATTTTATCGCGGGCTTTGAGCGCGGCGAACGAGTCAAGAAATTCCGTAACGAAAATAACCTAACACACGATTACGTAATATAGGTGCGGCCAATACGCGTTAGAGCGGGACAGAACGCATACTGCGTATTCACATCTCTCTGACGAGATCGGTGACGTAGCGTAAGCGCGGCCGGTGCAGCCGGTACGTGTTATAGTGAGACGGACTATATAGATGTGTTAGTCTGAGTCTGTTAAGAGTGCTAGATTGAATTAATATCAAAGAAAAAAAATACTGCATAAATAAATTATTATAGTAATAGGTCGGAGACCTGTACATCAGGGTACTCCGCACTTCCAACGGTTAAATGAAATAGTAACTTAACAATAAGTGAACCAAAATAATATATTATTAAGAAAATAGAAAGCTAAGACTTATTTCTTAACTAAAGATACAGGTTTACATGGTTGAGACATTTGTACACACCAGAATCATAATCTTATAGAAGGGATGGATGGGATGGGAGGTGGAAAGTGCTTGTGTTAAATAGTTTAAGTGCATCGACGAGACATAGTTAAATGAAAAGGAGGGCAACTGGCGGCCTTTTCGCTTTCGAGGGATCTCTTCCAGGCAACTGGGAGAAAATAAAATAACATTAGATAAGGTTAGCAACGTAACAGTGATCAGGACAATATGAAATAAAGGACATGTAAAAGATGGAAATTAATTCCTGAGCATGAATTTTTTTTAATATAGGCTTTTATTGACTAACTTTCAATAAATCCTGATTTTACTAGATACTACTAAACTGAATTATTTTTCATTATGTAACAAAATGTATAACAGAATTAGTAGATGGATTGATGTGTTTTTTGGAAGAAGAGAAGAAGTGAAAAAAAATCGGTTTTCGAAGCCGAGAGTTTGATTTTCTTACTTGGTGATCACGTCAACAGTAATTATTTACTTTTTTACACATATTACCCACACATTGTCTATTCTTGAAAACAAAATGCATTTTCGAGGATTCATACAAAAAATAAATACCTTTATGTACTATTACTTTTGCGAACTTTGCTTACTTTTTCTCACAAGAGGAAGAGAGGGGGGGTAAATCTGATTACGTAATACTTGAATGGCCCCTTAATATGATTATTCGACCTGCCCCAAAGTCTGGTGCAGAAATAACTTACTTCCATTTAGGCAAGTATCGTTTTCGAATTCACCAATCTGCATCGTAGCCAGGCCGAGGAAGGCGACCATCAAACTGAACACATATGCCATGAGTACCATCCCGCCTATATTTCTCAACTCTGGTAGGATCGCGTACACAACGAGCAGTAGAGCCAGGAAGAACGACGATGTGATAAGGTCTGGAAAAAAAATAATATAATCTCCAATTTATTGGATCGGTAGACCAAAGATTTAAAATTCTGCAACGCACTTGCGAGCCCTCCGGCGGTGGGTGTCTATGGATGGCGGAATTACTTAAAATCAGGTGAGCCAGTTACATAAGAATATAAATATCAATAGGTCTTTTTTAGTGTTGTTTTTTATAATGTGAGGCTTTTCTGGATTATGGACATTCATACAGCGTTTGTTTGTATGTTATATTTATTGTCATTTAATATCGAATTTTATGAAAATTTCGACTGTATGTCGACTCGACAGAGCACTTTTAGCCCAGTGGCTTGCCACTCCTGAGGTAGTAGGTTCGATCCCCGGCTGTGTGCACCAATGGACTTTCTTTCTATGTGCACATTTAACATTCGCTCGAACGGTGAAGAAAAACGGAGTGAGGAAACCGCCTTAGAACCAAGATGTCGACGGTGTTATTTGACAAATGATCATTCAATCATCAAACAGATTTAGAAATCCCAGAAAATGCAGACCTAAAAAGGTTGTAGCGCCATTGATTTTTTTATTTTATTTACTTCGTCTCAACGCACAAAAAGATGTATGATAATTAAAACTGAATCAATAATATACGATGCGCTACACCCCTTAAGGACGTTTCTCCACTGCTCCGGTCCGGCAAACGTTAATTACCGATCCGATTTAGAAATTCACAACTCTCCACTACTTCTTCATCCGGTTTTTAACGATCCGATAACTTGCTAGATCGGAACGCGGTGTTTTATCGGTCCAAGTATATCCAAGAGGTTATAAATTATTATTCACAGGTTATTTCTAGTTTCTTTAATTTGAAAGAATCTGGATAACCTGGACCAAACCAAATTAAGTTGCTATTTATTTATATTTTTATACCATAGTATTAGTGAACTATTTAATTTTATTAAGTAGATTATAATATTTTAAGATAGACAATATAAAAAGTAATAAACTTGCCAGGGCAATAAAATATTCAGAATTTAGAACGTTTTAATTATAAAATAAAGTAAATGGGTTTTAGTTAATATAAGTGTTGCATGATAAATATACAATTATCGATTATTGTCGGATCGGATATAGTGGAGAAGCGCAATCCAGCCATCGGATATTTTTCTCATGATCCATTCCGGTATCTAACGCCGGACCGGAGCAGTGGAGAAAGGGCCTCAGGGTGGAAGCTGATTCCTCCAATTGATTGAACATTTTAGAGACAAAAAGACTGAGAGACGTCTAATAGTCCACAAATGGTGTTCCTTAATTGACAAGAATGAATTTATAATAAAAAAAATCACACACCAAACAAACAACCAACATAAGAAATTAATTAGGAAAAACAAAATAACACAATAAAAAAATACAAAAAAATTTACTAACGCTAATAAATTTCTTAACTAAAGTAATACAGCGAATCATATGTACCCTTTTCGGAAGGTTAGACCTAACCGTGGGCACACGAAGTAACGGCGGAATGTAGAGTTAGGTGTAAACTTGCTCATTATGTTTTAATAGCAAATTAAACGAAAAATAGATGGTTTATAGCCAAGATGTGAATGCATAGTTGCAGACTACCGCTGCATATAATATAAAAAAGGCAATTAAATATACAAACCTATAGAAATATAAACGTTGCTTTGTTCGATTGAAACTGGGTCGATAGTCCAGAACGCAATTTCTACATCTGTTCCATTGGCATAGTCCAAACAAAATTCTGATTGTATTGGCATCCATTTTTGGTAAGTGTTCGGAAACTCCAAATAAAGTATGCCACTCTGCAATTAAACATTAAAATATATATCTAATCACCTAGAACCTGTATTAGAAGTCAATCCCTATTTTAGGAATCTATACAACTATTTGGACGTAAATAAATTTGTATTTTATCGAGGACCTATGCCACTTAGCTTATTATAAACTCGTAAAACTTATTTTTTAGCTAATTGAAATCATGGGAATAAGAAAAAAATCACGCGGCCTTAAAATGTAAGCAGTAGGTACATTTTTCACAATTTACTAAGCACAATCAGTACAGTAAATATCGAATAAGAACCATAGATAGACAACACAAGTAAAAATCTAGCCCGATATAGCATTAATATTTATTTATTGAATTACGAATAATTCTTAACATAAATGGTGATGATCGTGTCACTTTCAATATTAATTATTGGACCATATCATTAATATAACCAGATAAATTAACCACAATATAACAGTCCGAATAGTTATTTGTAATTGCCATTTTCAATAATCAATAGGAACATTTACATATTAATGTTATACTTGCTTATATCAACGGTATGTATGATGTTAGGTAGCAATGATTAGGGGCCAATTATGTGTCCATCTCATTTATATTTGATATTATAATATATAACCAAGTCAAGGATCCGACTTCTGATTCTGACGAGTCGATTTGTCCTATATCGTATGAGTATGTGGAAAACTTCAGAACTTCACAACTAGTGTTCAAACACAGGGCAAACACTCTTTTCCACATCCATTGATATATTATCAAGCCCTTTATTAAAATAATCATGGTGAGGGCTTAGTGAATGTCCAGTATTCGATAACCAGCGGAACTAATTCTTTCGGGTAGAGACAGAATTATATCTATTGGTCCTAAAATTTTCAGAAATGTATCATTTTACTTACTAGAGTTGACCCCAATTAGTTTTGATAAATCATTTTTTATATATGCTTTTAATAATAAAAGTTACAAAAACTTTTATAATCTATAGTATTGAAATCAGTGAAAGAGCTGTTGAATACAGGGGCCATAAATATCTCCTACCTGACTTAAATAACTGTTCACTCCACCGATTTCCGGTACTCCACAATTAACCGCGAATGTTTCATTTAGTAACAACCCTTGCTTCAGTAAAAACGTGTCTCCGAATTTTCTGCTAACCGGTCTCAAATGATCATCATCATCGTACAATTGTACGTCAGAAAAGTCCAATTTCTTCTCACCATCATATTTCACACATATAGGAGGTTCACCTATAACTATACCACTCACATATTCGTCTTTCCTACAACATTTATTTAAACACGTATTTTTTTTGCAAAGCGATTCTATCTTCTCATCATCTATTACTATTTCTGACTGTGCTCTCGCCGCGAAAATAATTAAAATTATTTTTAAATACATTGTCTATACACACCGAGCTCCTGTCAATGACTACTCACTTTTAGAATCGGTTGATCTTGTTGTAGTTTCCTTATCAATTGTGTTATACCGTGTTAATACAGGAATAATATGTTATTACCATCAAAATGAATAAGTCTTTGTTAAAAAATACTCTTTCAGACCCAAATACATCAACTTCGAAGATAAATATTATAATGATAACTTTCACACCAAATAAAAATCAATAAAGTATTAAATATAAATCAATTGACGAAACGATTGTGCGTTTCGTTAGATTGTCATTGGTCCTAGCCCAATACGCGATGTAATGCGTCATTGTCGTTCCACCGATCTCAATAGAACGAACATTTCGTCTTTCCTTTGGTTGCATCTTGAGTAGTTTCAAGTTATCACTCCCCAGGATACTGTACTAAACTTATTACGTGCTACATTGAAACATAGCATATCTAAGTCTCTCGTTGTTATCTTCTTCAATCGTACTCTTCATTTCTGAAGGTTGAGATAGTCGCGCCGCACATCTTCCGCCACCCTCCTCTATTCAGCAAGCCTCTGTGCCTGAAAGTCAAGTCAAGTCAAAGGCCCAGTGAGTAGGGAATTAGCCTCGAGGTCTGGTGCCCTCACCAGTTACGATATGTTTACTAAATTTTCTGGATCTCCGCATGTAGCATGATTCAGGATCCGTCCAAAATGTGAGGTTGTGTGTAAGTATAAAAGGTTGATCACTTAGTTGGCTATGAAGAAAAATTATGAAGAAAACAGTATGAGAAGAAACCACACATGAAACTGATTTTTTAAATTCACGATCACTAATTTGAAACCAAACGATGAATTGGGGATAAAAAGAGTATATTGTTACAAGGAAACTCAATTATTGTAACTATTTTTAGCAACTACAGCCCTGCGATTCTGTAGCTCACTTTATAAATAATAAACTACAAGCTCCCACCTTTTCAGAATGCCAAATCATAAAATGACTGCTTCACGACTGATTTGAGAGTGACCGCCGATGCGAAAACCGCTGTGTGAGTTCGAAAAGTGAGTTACAGAATCGCAAGGCTGCAAAGCATTTCAAAGCTATTAGGAATATAAGCGCCTATTGTGTATATTTTTTTAAATTTTATGCTCACACAGGAAAAGCCATTTTTCACAAACTTTACAAGCGGAGGTAATCACTTTCACCTGTATGTGTAATTATTGAAATCGTAGAATACTTGAGTGAATGGAGTGATTCATTTATCCTTCAACTTTAGTATTGTATATAAAGTATTTCTCAGGCAGTTGTCGATCGGTGCCGGAACAAGCTTGTGTCTGAAGTCGAAACTCTGCTACGTGGAGTCTCGGACGTAGATATAGTTATCTAGTCCAATTTAACCCCAAGAAGACAAGTTTGGGCATTTTCTGGTACAAAACACAGCTCTTCTTCCTATCCAGTACACTCTTGACAGAGCGGTTGTGATCGCTATGAAGTAGGTAGTGGTAATAGAAGAAGCAGATGTGATGCGCTTCACGACATTTCGCCATCGTTGCCTATTAGAGCTCATCCTGCTGCAGTGATTGAGTGAATCTCCTACGGCAGACTTGATTTGGTCAGTCCAACGCGTAGGTGAACTTCCGCACGGTCTAGTGCCTTCCACCTTCCCCTGTCAGCTATCATTGGAATATGGGCAGGCTTCCGTCTGCGCTTGTGCATCTATATAAAGCACAAACTCGGCCACAAATGGAGTACTGTTAACACCTCTGGCCGTGTGCTTCCCAGTACCAGCTCCTTCCACTTGACCGTATTTAACAAAGAGCGATTTGTATCGTCGACTTGACCCTTTGGCGTTGCGTAGAGATGTGGGGTCTCTGCATCTTCTACCGAGTGTGTTGATAAACCTTTCTTAGGGTCCTTCAAGAAAAGAGCGTGCCAACTTTGGTAAATTTAGTGTCTATGGGCGCCGGAATCACTTAAGATCAGATGAGGCGCTTGCCCGTTTGCTCTCTGTTATACAAAAAAAGAAGATTTGAAAGGTTTTATTTCTGGAAAACTAACTCATATCCAGATGATCACATAGTTTAAGTTTTATCAAAATCGGTTCAAGGTTTAATTCGTAATAAACTGAGTTATTTACACAAAGAGAAACCGAAAGGGAAAAGGGTTTTTTTTTTATATCTCTCATTATATTTTTTTATTTTTATCTTATTTTTTATTTCGTTAATTATTGTTACCATGTTATGTGTGCTTATGTCAAATGTTCACCATTGTTAGACTCATTAATACAAATTTTCCTGGTGGTTCATATAGTCCTCCAATATTTCAATAAAACTAAATAAAGGATAATTATTTCGGAACGGAATATTATTTTAATTACAAAACACGCTCCCAACCATTTGGAGGGAGCCCCTTACAATCGAACAAATCTTATCAAAGAATCATCTACTCCACAGTTCTCTTCTGTCCTCTTTTTAGCCTGTACTAGTAATAGGATATCCATAGCGTTGTGGTAAGCTAAAAGAAGTTAAAAAGTCCTCTAATTAAATAGATAGTAAAACATGAGAAAATATTGATGCGTTTAAGCACAAATCAATTTGTCTGTGAATAAAAATTAATAAATGTCAATTATTGATAATATGAAAGATCGTTAGTTTCCGAATAAAATATTTATTCATACAGAAATAAAAAAAATATTAACCTAAAACTAATAACCCTAAAAATATAATAACTAAAATGTATAATTAAAAGGCAAGCCATTAGGCAAGGTTCCGGAGATACCGGCAGCGTTCCCCTTTGAATAGCTAGATTAATTTTTTGTCTGAGGTAGCGGCCAGCTCTTCGGTCTCCTGTGATGTCGACTAACCTTTTTGCTAAGTTCACGACTTCGCCTCCAGCATAAATGAACTAATTTACTCATATTAGAGCTAGATCTTATTATTAAACTGACTCGTATTCTGGACGAGATTAGAACTGAAAACAAGTAGATATGACTATTTTGAAATTTGACATAATCAAAAGTACTAAAGTGGAGATGCAGTTATGGCTTCAGCGTGCGACTTTCATCCCTGAGGACGTAGGTTTGATTCCCGGCTGTGCACCAATGAACTTTCTTTCTATGTGCGCATTTAAAATTCGATCGAACGGTGAAGGAAAACATCGTGAGGAAACCGGCTTGTTTTAGACCCAAAAAGTCGACGGTGATCATCTACTTTCTATTAAATTGACAAATGATCATGAAACATACAACAACAACAATCGCCGCACTGTTTTTTTGTCAAACTGGAGATGCAACATGATTGGAATATGGGCCTGAGATTCACTTGTCTTTTACTTGGTAGAAGGTACTTTTAATTAAATTTAAGAACTGTCCAGGTTAATTTAAGTTTATTTTCCTGTATGAAATTACTTTAGTATTTTGTTATTGACGTTTCTTCTTAAAATGCCAGCCTCCAAACGCCTCGCGAGTCCTTTAGCATTGACTGACCATGGGTGGCGGGGCGGTATCACATCAGGTGAGCCTCCTGACTGTTTGCCCCCTGTTCTATACAGAAACTTCGCAATTCCGAGAGAACTATGGAAATGAGTTAAACTATTCCTTTTCTGAAATCAATAAAATAATAAAACCAATTCATCTGTCATTGTTTTTAATCGTAGAGCTTTAATAAATCTTTAAATTATTTAACAATTATGATAAACTGGAGCTAATCTTTGTTCTTCCAACGGATGTTCGTAGATAACATAGATTCCTTGTTGAGATTGTGCTGTCATTGTTTCCAGCATTCTAAGCAAGAAATGGTCTCTCTTCACCTGAGAACTTCCTCTGTACGTTTGGATATGGACACACATTTGGTTGGGTTTCTTGGCTTAGAGTCGATTCTAGAGTAATACTTGCGGTCATTGATCTTTTTGGAAGCCTGGCACGTCTGAAATTTTTGTACCTGAAACATATTTTCAAATATTATCGAAAAGAAAAGAAAAGAAAAAAAACGTGTGGCACTCGGGGTCTGCCGCGGTAAAGCTATTGAATAATTTTTTTTTCAACTTATGCAATTATAATTATTTCTTTATGCAGTATTTTTTTTCTTTGATATTAATTCAAGTTTTTTCTTTGATTAATTAATTTAATCTACCACTCTACCAGACTCAGACAAACTCGTCTATATAGTCTGTCTCACTCTTACGCGCATCGGCTGCACTGATCTCGTCAGAGAGATGTGAATTCGCAGTATGCGTTCTATCCCGCACTAATGCGTAAGGTTTTTTTTCGTTACGAAATTTCTGGATTCGGTCTCCACGCTCTAGACCCGCGATAGAAGCTATGCAATAGCTTAAAACTTTATTACACATACTACTAAAAGTAACTTTAGTTAAAAGAGAAAGTGTACGGGAATCCTAGTGTGGGAACAGGGAAAGGTTGAGATAAATTACAGTTGCAATTTAATGTAAGTAGACAAAAGCGTAGTTTCTTATTCGTTCGTAATATGTCCTATTATTGTAAACAATGCTCAAAGAGAGATAACAGCAAAGAGAGAACTCAGTATAAACAAATATTTTTAATGTGCTGAATTTTAATTTAAAAACAAAACTTCAATCACTTCATTTACCGAGCATGGTTTAAGTTTTTTTATATACAAATTGGTTACAACGGCCATAATGCCTAAGTGATGTTAAGTGACACCGCCGCCCAGTTGAGTGCGTTGCTGGCCTTTTAAGAGTTGGTACTCTTTTCTTAAAGGTCCCTAAGTCGACTTACGTAAGTGGAAGTTACCATGATTGACAGTTGAAGTTCGGCATTGTTCAGGCATTTTAGCCAAAAATAAACACACTTACCTGTTCTTTAGTTTGTTCAAAATAGACTCCTTCCAGATGAAAATTAGAAATATAGTAATCCCTATAAGCAAGTTGTAAGCGTCTGAGATGTACCAAATCTTAAGATCAGGGTAAAATGAACTGACAACTTCAAGTAACCAGTTAATTCCCATTATTGCTGATAACTTCAAATACACTGTGAATCTGGAAAGGAAGC